ATATAAGTTGTGGCAAAATTCCACAACACCAAGCACAAAATATTGTAAGTACCTACCCGAATAAACGAAAATAAATGCAGAAAACAGCATAAATAGCGCCATAAAACTGCTGATCCCTTTCATTCTAAAGTTTTTTTCCCGTGTATTATACAACACTACCTACACTACTACAACTTGTTAAAAGTTAAAAAGTTCGCAACCACGTGACTCGTACAGTCTTTTTGTTATTTTATGTTGAAAACTTAGTTTGACTGCCAGTTTCTTAATTTGATACCAAATGCCAGAATTTTAGTTTTATTTGCGAAGTTCGGCATGGTTCTATTTAAAACTATTTCGCATTAAAGTTTTGTTGAATTTAGTTTACAGTATTCAATAAAATGCGATGATCAAAAGAAGAAATAATTTATAAAACAAATAAAATTATTTTTTAAGAAATACACATATACAGGGCTCACGTTAAAAGTCTTGTTATCTTTTGAATGAAAAAAGGGATCGGCATAGGACAAAAACCATTGTCAATATTAAGTATACTACTTTTTGACGTCAAATTGATAGGTGCCTACTTAAAGAGTGCCAAGAGGGCAGTGTCAACTTAACATTTTTAAATAGAATGGTGAGCTTGTAATACCTCATTTGAAAGGTTTCGATTCTCTAATCGATGCTATATACATTTTTAAAATTCGTTTAAGGTTTCTCTTGCTACCCTTTTTTGTTTTGAAAAAAACTTCTTTAGTGTAACACTATTTATCAGTTGTGCCTGTGCCTGAAATTTTACTTTTAATTTCGTTGGAACATGGTTCGCGCTTGCCCGTTGGAAGAAAAAAACAGAAGTAATTTTAATTTATGCAGAAAATATCTACAGGAGTTGGTGACTAAATTTAAAAGAAAATATTTAAAACATAACAAATTTCATTCCTATAAACTAAAAATATTATATCAACTAACTGAAGATCACCCGGCTCTCAGAGTACAATTTTGTGAAGTTATATGTGAGCGCATAATACAAAAACCCCGGTACATGAATTTGTTTTAGTGATGAATTAACTTTTTTTCTAAATAGTACTGTAAATCGGCAAAATGTACGTTACTGGTCAGATGTATTTCGTGAAGGTCATACCCAGTACCCTTAAAAAGTCAATGTATGGGCGGGACAAATGGGAAACCATATTGTAGGACTTTTTGTAAGGAAATTTAACAAGCATCTTGTACTTAAACATGGTTTAAAAACAAATTCATAGAATGATTTAAGTTCATGCTAATCCTGACGAATTTGACATGAAAGTAATATTCCAACACGATAGAGCGCCTGCACATTTTTTATGGATGTTAGACAGTGGCTCGATGAGAACTAGGCGTAGTCCTACCGAATGGCTGGCTCGGTCTCCTGATTTAACACCACTTGATATGAAGACGTGACTGTGCAAATATTACATAAGAAACGTTTGCAAATGTGAAAACTAAAATTAGAAACTATTTTTGTGTCAAAGTGTCTAAGGGACGCATTTTTAAATCTAATTTTATGACTAATTGGAAATTTATTGTACTTAATAAATGAAAACTTTGTACTTTTTGAATGAAGAAAGAATTGATTTGAAAATTAATTTTATTTAAAATTTTAGATTTTAGATATGCGTTAAAAATGGATTTGAAATACCTTTCAAATGTGGTATCTCAAGCTCCCCCTTTCCATTTGAATTTTTTAAGTTGATAGGTACTGCCCTCTTCGCACTCCATAAATAGGCACCTATTCATTTTACGTTCATAAAATCCATAGACATTAAACAGTTTAAAAAAATTGCGAATGCGCCGGGATAATAATTACACAATCCAAAAAATAATAAGTGGTCTAAATTTAATTAGCACAGGAGCTAATCCCAGTAGTTCATGCAATGGGCCGGAAATTCGTTAATTGGATTCTGACAAGGTAACAAGATTTTATATTTGCAAAGACAATTTTTTTTAGCGATGAAGCCCACTTTTATCTCAGTATATATGTCAAAAAACAAAATTGTAGAATTTGGGTCAACAAACCAGCAACAATTCATCAACTTAAAGACAATATTGATGCGTAATTCAGCAGCACATATGAGAGGATGTTATTTTCATTAAAAGAGGGAGGGTGTGTGCCAGCAAAGTCGTGGTGGGCATTTGTCGGATATTGTCGGGAGATGTATACTTTATGTTGAAATAAAAAAGAAAAATCCTTTTAAAATTTTTAAGGTATTTAATTAAAATATTAAATCCGGCGTTCCTATTGAAACACCCTTTACATGGTGCAGACCAATAACTAAATAAATAAAATTAAATGTAAAAATAAAAAAAAAAATTATTTAGACTTAAATTGGAATGTTTAACGACTTTCCATATACATTTAATTCAATTTTTATGGGAATATTTTTTTTACAATCAGGAATTTTAATAAAGAAATAAGTTTTTCTTTAAAGTCAGGGTACTTTTACTTTAAAGCATTCTCAGGTTTTCTTAATTTTTGAACACCCAGTACATTTGGTTTAAAAATTATTTAATGGAAATCTCGATTTTTAAACAAGCAGGATTATTGATTTTTTTCTTAAAAGCGCATAATCAAAAGTTCGTCCTATTGGCAACCCGTTCCAGGGACACACTGTAGAAAAAAATACAATCGTGTAGGGACTAAACAGAGTTCAGATTAGGTTTAAGTGGTCATGGCGCATTTGGTTTTTTGTGGGCCTGTGTTATTAATAACTAAGTGACGCAAATTTAAAAAAATCCCTACTCAGCGGTTAATCATGTTATTATGGGAATGCACACAGCTCTTTAGGTCCAGCAGTTTGGTCTGGGCGTTGATAAATCAGGACATGTGTTTGCATAAAAATAAGAAAAAACCTATTAACTGTTTCCAGAAAGGCTTTAATCTTTACAAAAATAATAAAGACAAAAAGTTTAATTATTGTTATTTTTAATTGTTTTATCTGGAACTAAGCTCAAAACAAATTAAAAGCAGATTAAATTAATATCTGAAATGCCTCTGAAACAACAATGGCCACTTTTAACAAAATATGCAACCTCAAAACAGGAAAGTCAAGTTATAAAAAAACAAACAAAACAAAAATAAAGTTATTTAATTAAAAAAAGTATTTTTCCAAACGGATTTATTGTTACTAATAGGCTTTTATTACTTCCTTACTCTTTAGAAGCGATCGCTTACGTGTCTGCATCTTATAATGTCTCAAGACGTACTGTACCGTACCGTATTGAATTATTTTAAAAAATAAAAAAGGTAACTTTAAAATTTACTAGCTCCTTGGTTATAGCTATCCCAAGACGGTATTTTATTTCAAAAATGGCGAATGCGCCGGGATTAATTAATTACTTTAGAATTTGTTAATTAACTTAATTATAACGCCACCTATCGGATCCTAGCATAGCTATGCTGCCCTACTATGGAGAAAGGCAGTAACTGCAAAAAAATGCAAAATACGTTTTTTTGTGCTTTGGTAAAGCTATGGATATTTTGTAACCGAATTCAACACAGAAATGCAGTCAAATATCTCATAAGTTAAAAAAATCAATTAAATACCTACTGCTTTTTATAAAAATGTAGTTTATGCTAATTTTTCACAAATTTCTTGTTTAGCAGTCACTGCCTTTCTCCATAGTATGAACCAAAGACAGTGTTTCTATTGCAAAAATGGCGAATGCACCAGGATTAATAAATCAATTAATATACAATTTGTAAATACATACAACGCCACTTATGGGATCCTAGAATAGCTATGAACCAATTGGTTCTTTAAAGAAAGTATTCATATTTTACTGTGGCCACCATGTGTAACAACTTTAACCAGTCGATTTGAAGATTTTCTATCCCGTTTACAATTTTTTTTAATGTTTGGTAAATTTTTAATATAATGAAGAAAACATTAAAAGTCCAATCGATCTTCAAATATTTTATGGTAACTTCTGTTATTGAAATTGGCTTAAAATTCCTTGCGGTAGTTGTATAAAACATTGTGTTGGTCAAAAAAGGGGAATCGGGAAACTCCACGTTCGAAGAATCCCCTCTTTCTCCCACTAGACGTTTTTAAACATTATATATTTTTTTAATCTGTCTCTAATAAAAAATATTGTCATTTTCGTTTACTATTGTGTCTGATTTTTAACAAATAAAAAGAATTATCGTCCCTATTAAGATCATTCTTTATTAAAAAATACATATTTTATCAAATTAAATTAAACATAAGCATACGCTAAAACTTAAGCTTATCCCTAAATAAATATATTAAAATATTTAATTTTTTTAAATTTTATTTGGGTTAAAATAATTTAAAATTCATAAACCACTTTACCATTTTAGTATAAATATTTTATCCACTAAAAATCACTTAATAACGGGCAAAAGCATTAGAAATAATTTATTAAGTAAATAATTTTAACTTCTATTAAAACATTTCAATAAATGTATAGGTATAACATTTTGCCATTGTTCTTACCTTCTTAATATTTAAGTTGTTTATTTAACAATAGACTTAATGGACTTGATAGACTTAATGGGTTAATTTTAAGTTAAAACTAAATATTTCAGATGTTCAATTGTTTTATGATTTTTATTTTAATCTGATTTTTCGATATAAAATAATTGTATTGTTTAACATTATTAAAAATAACACTAAACGATATAAATACGTATATATTCTTCATAAACATTTTTAATTAATTAAATAATTACCTACCTAAACTTTCACTAACACAGATTTACGTGTTAAAACGACTTAATACCATGCATTATTTTTGAGTTACGTAAATTTTAAAAGTGTCACTTATACTTGTGTACTTATTAAAACTTTGTAACAGAAACTGCAACTCTACAGTTTAAATTATTTATTATCCTCTATATGCATTTTAAACAGGAAGGTATAACAATTTATGTTGTCACAAATTACTTATGCAGTTTGTATAATTGTATTAATTAGGATTAATTTATTCAAAAGTTTTGGATGAAGTGCTGGGAAAAACAAAAATACTGTAAGCAATTTATTATAAAACAAACAATGTAATACTTATAATTATAAACAAAATGTAAATTTAACAAGTGAACTTTTTGGTACCTACTTATAACAAATAAAATGTAATTAATTAAAGCATTATTGTTCTTATTTACAAAATAATTTGTAATTTAAGAAGCATAAACGTGGGTATAAAGATCTTTATAAATTATTTTATATCGGTTTAACTGATTTACGCCATCTGTGTTCGTTTTCTTAAATTTCTTCAGTTTTTGGTACCTCTCCGGGCTAAAAAATATATGATTTTATTAATTCAATTTTCAATTTAAAAATTCCATATTAAATTGTCTGGGTAAAGAACATATACAGTGCGCACGTTAAAAGTTCCACCCTGTTATATTTGGAACTAAATCCAACAAAAACCATTGTCAAGGATATTAGTATACTAATTTTTGACGTCAAATACTACTTTTTGACTTCAAATACTATTTTTTGACGTCAAATTGATTAGTGCCAATTTAAGGAATGCCAAAGTTGTGATAACTCATTTAAAAGGTATTTTAATTCTTCATTTAACGCATATCTAAAATCTAAAATAGGTTCAATGGTTGCTAAGATATTAAATGTTTAAACAAAATTAATTACTAAATCAAATATTTATTTTCATTTATTTAGTTCAATATATTTCCAATTAGTCATCAAATTAAATATTCGAAATTCCCCTTGGACATTTCGACACAAAATAGTCTGTTTCTTATATTCTTGACAATGGTTTCTGTCCAATGTCGATAAAAGGTTTCCTCTAAAAGATAACAGGGGGGACTATTTACGTGCGCAGTATATATATATATATATATATATATATATATATATATATATATATATATATATATATATTAGGGTGCTTCAAAAAATAAAATTTAATTTTATTTATTTATAAATGTTTTTATTTAATATAAAAAAAATCCTCACCAAAAATGGGCGTTTCAGCTCAACCCTAAGAGGTCGCTGTTTTTATTTTAGTTTCCCATTTAATTAACATTGGAAAAAATAATTTTGTTTGGAATTTTATACCTCTGTATCAAAGTAACTTATGGCAATAATCATTTCAGTTTCTAAAATGTAACGCTCTACAAAAAAGCTCTCTTATTATTTTTCGATAAATTGCTCTCTTCTAGAGTTATTCGAGGTCAAAGTTTGATTAACATCAAATTTTCTGTTTTTTTTTTTTAATTTTATGGTATAAGTAGCAGACGGGAGGTGAAAGGGGGCAAAACAAGGCAGCGGGGGGGGGGCAAAATGAGGTACCCAAAAAATGAGCATATGAAAAGTTTTCCAAAATTGTACCATTTCTCGCTCTACAGGCTCAGAATAATTATTTTCGATTAAAAGTCAATATAGGTATTTTCAAATAATTAAGAAACCAAAAAAAACAAATTAAATTTTTTTTTTAAGAAATTTGCCCATTTTGCCCCTCCGCTGCCTTGTTTTGCCCCCTTTCACCTCCCGTCTACTAACTGTACCATAAAATTAAAAAAAAAAAAACAGAAAATTGAATGTTAATCAAACTTTGACCTCGAATAACTCTAGAATAAATCAATTTATCGAAAAATAATAAGAGATCATTGCCATAAGAGTCAATCCAAATGAAAACACCAAAAATGAATTTAAAAGTGCGCTGCATGATTTTTTATTATAATGAAAAAATTTGAGGATGATCTTTTAGGTGTCAAATATGAAAATCCGTTGCCGTTTTAATTTTTTGTTGCTTTACTTTTATTTGACACCCCTTAGAAGTCTGAAATAGTGTCGTGTAGAACTTTTTTTCTGTGACAAATATTGAAATAATTTTAATTTTGTTTTACTGTTCAGTAAGTGTGTTTTCGATATAAATTATTATTATTCAATTAGTTAATCTCATAAAAGAAAGGTAAACCACTAAAGATTCATGATAATTTGCCAATTTTTGTGATTTTTGTTTGGCTCCTGTGCCTATTCTACTGAATTTAGAAGGTTCATTTTTTTCAGGTATAAAGTACTTATACAATAGAAAACGTAACTATTATTTTAAGTTTCTAGACTATCAATTTCTTTATTAAAAAATTTATTGAAAATTGATAATTCTCAAAATTAGCCAATTTTGCCCTCAGAAATCATTATGTTGAGGAAAAAATAAAAATTTGAAACTTTCAGGAAATGTAGTCCCCAACTTCATCTTTTCAGTCCAGTTAGTCTTGTTTTGTTATTTTTGTTCCTTTAAAAGATATATTTATTTTTTTAATGCCCGTTTAGTAGCGATATTGTTAGTTTTATTTATAATTTAAAATTTAGATGGCTTTGACTTTGTCAATTCATGTTTGGTAGAGAAATGTCAGAGCTGTCAAAAATATTTCATAAATTTTATTTGTGTGTATTTAAATTGTGATTTCAAAAAGTTTGCAAGTTTGCAAGTGTAATAAATGACGGAGTGTTCGAGATTCATGAATTTAATTGCAATTAAAAATGCAAGAACATATCATAATTTTGTACCTCTTTCTTATAGAAAATATTTAATTTCTGAGAAGTTTTAAATTGTTAAAAATAAGCAAAAACCAAAAAATATTCTAAATAAACCCCTTTATTATAACATGTTTTATTTTAACCAGTTACCTAAAAACTAAAATTTAAAGAAGTATTTACAGATTGTGTAAATTTTTTCCAACACTAACATTTAAAATACATACATTTAACTTTTAACTTTTTAGTGCCTTACTAAAGGGATCAAAATAATAGAACAAGACTAACTTGGTTTAAATTGTGAAAGAAACCGACAAAAAACTGCTTAACGCATTTTTTATACGTTTAAATTAACTCTTTATTAATTTCACTTATTATACTTAACGATATAAACCATAAGGATCTTAAATATATTTTTTACATTCTTCTTCTTTAAACACCAATTAGCCAATTAAATACTTCATTATAATGTATATAATATATAATCATATACATATATATATATATATATATATATATATATATATATATATATGATTTTTCAATACATAAAATATAACATAACTACCAAAAATATCAAATACTATTAATGAAATATTTTTGACAGTTCTGACACTTCTCCACCAAACATGAAAGCCATCTACCTAAATTATAAATAAAACTAACAATATCGCTACTAAACGGCCATTAAAAAAATTAATATATCTTTTAAAGGAACAAAAATAACAAAACAAGACTAACTGGACTGAAAAGATGAAGTTGGGGACTACATTTCCTGAAAGTTTCAGATTTTTATTTTTTCCTCAACATAATGATTTCTGAGGGCAAAATTGGCTAATTTTGAGAATTATCAATTTTCAATAATTTTTTTAATAAAGAAATTGATAGTCTAGAAACTTAAAATAATAGTTACGTTTTCTATTGTATAAGTACTTTATATATATAAAAAATGAACCTTCTAAATTCAGTAGAATAGGCACAGGAGCCAGACAAAAATCACAAAAATTGGCAAATTATCATGAATCTTTAGTTGTTTACCATTCTTTTATGAGATTAACTAATTTGATAAAAATAATTTATATCGAAAACACACTTACTGGACAGTATAACAAAATTAAAATTATTTCAATATTTGTCACAGAAAAAAAGTTCTGGCCCACTATAAGAGAGTAAGAAATTGACACTATTTCAGACTTGTAAGGGGTGCCAAATAAAAGTAAAGCAACAAAAAATTAAAACGGCAACGGATTTTCATATTTGACACCTAAAAGATCATCCTCAAATTTTTTCATCAAAATAAAAAATCACGCAGCGCACCCCATTTGGTGTTTTTATTTGGAATGACTCATAAGTTACTTTGATACAGAGGTATAAAATTCCAAACATAAAATTACTTTTTTCCATGTTAATTAAATGGGAAACTAAAATAAAAACAGCGACCTCTTAGAGTTGAACTGGAACGCCCATATTAGGTGAGGATTTTTGTATATTAAATAGAAACATTTCAGAGGGTAAGAGGTCTCCTGTAAATTTTAACTTAAGGTTTTTTTATTGTTTCAGAATTTAAATGGAATGCATTTTATACATATTACCTTGCTTTTTCTTTTTTGTGGTTTAACATAACATATTTACTAATCTTTGGAGAAAATCGACATGTCACCAATTTATTCGAATTTAAACGACTAAAATTGTAATAAAATTTAATTAAATCAAAATTAAAATGTATGTCACATACTTGTAAAAATCGTCATCTTCGCCTCCCCATCCATAATACTGATTTGAAAATCCATTAACTAATTGAAATTGATCGGAGCGAATGGATATGGCACCTCCAAAAAGAGTTAGGTAAGGTAAATTGTACCTAAAAATAAACGAAAAATTAGAGCAAAATATTAACTTTAATAGTACCCACCTAAATGTGTCTATGCTGCTGGACATGTGTCTGGGACTTTTAGTGCATCCATAAATATTTCCCAAGTTTAAAGGGATGAGATCAATATCGTGTAAAATTAAACAGTCATAATTTAATTCCATCGCCACTTTGGCTCCATAATTAAGCATTTTGCCTCTGTTGAATGGCAGACTGTCATTTTGTTCGGCGATTATTATTCTATATTCTACGTACTGTTTTTGTATAAAATCGTGAAAAAAGCTTAGGAATAAGTTTAATTGATCAGTTCTATTTCTATATGGTATAATTATAGCTGTTTTGACTAGAGATGTGCATGTTTTTGGGGAATACCATCCTCCTTAAATAAGCAAATAATATGTCTATTATAAATTATAATAATTATTTAATAATGTACTGTACATTATGTACAAGATATTTCTTAAGTTTAAAAGTGAATCAAATATAATTTACTACATAAGTAAAAATTTTTTAAACGGATCACCCGCAAAATTTGTTTTGGATCCCAAGTAGCACACTGACGTCTGCGGACGTCAAATGTCGTTGCTAACGTCGTTTAAACGTCAGCAGACGTCATTTAAACGTCAGCAGACGTAAGTGTGGGGATCTTAAAATTTAGTTGAGGTTTAAATGTTCAATTCTTTACAATTTGTGCAGAACAAAGCAAACAATTGAGGAATTGCCACCGATTAAAAAAAAACAATATTTTCCTTTATATTATTATGGTTTTAACCCTGAGCTAACATTTTTCGCAGTTTACCTCACGCCGTGATTTATCATGCATTTTGTTCATTTGCTAAGCTAAGACAAAACTCATTACGTGAGTTAATTTGAAATAAGTGAAGCGGGCATGCGCACAGAGCATTAAGTAGGTACGCGTTCAAAATAAAGGTCACCATGTGACATTTTAAAATTGTATCTACTACATTAATGTAGTAGATAGCAATTGCTAAGCATTTTGTGTTTTGTTTTTTTGTTGGGTAATATTTCTAATATTTTTTTAACATATCACCAAAGTTGTCCTTTTTTAAGTATTTTCTATTTAGTTTAAGGATTTTTTTTATTTATTTTAATATTATGAATTCCATTTATTACCTAATAAACAGTTTTAAAATAATTTTTTTAAGTTTTACTTATACAGGTGTTTATTACACATTGCTTTGTATTTTTTCTGTTTGTATGTTTAAGAATTACATTTCACGATAATTATCGTTATATTAATATATTAATTAATGTAATGGATAAGTAAAGTCGAGGGGTAAACCACTTTAAAATCTTAGAGACCAGCGTTCAATGTTAGTGGACGTTTTGTTGTGATTTTTTTCCTTATCAGTCGTTATCACTGTGGTCGTTATCAATAAGGAAAACTTGCTTAATCAGTGCTTAGCGACGCGTTGCGCTTGACTATCCTTGTTATTGTTATCCTTAGCCATTATAACTGATTTTTTAAAATTAAAAATCGCTTACGAATTATAATTCGTAAGCGATTTTTAATTTTAAAAAAATCAGTGGTTTACCCCTCGAGTAAAGTAAACTGCTCGTCATAAAAATCAACGCACCTAGTTTTTTGGAAAATATTTGAAAGCTCGTTATCCCCTGAGGGATTACCTAACTGTTATTAGGGAGAAGTATTAGGAATATCAAGATCAACTGCCCTGTGAATGGGGATTTGGAATTTTGGAAAAAACACATCCCCTTTTTTTAACATCTTGTAGCATAATGCTATGTGCACAATATCGCATTCTCAAAATTAGACGTAAGTCAAAGAATCCACTATTGCTCATTTTTTGGACTAAACTGGAAAATAACGACAATTTTCGAAAAATTGGCATATAATCGTAGTAAGCCGCGATTTTCACAAAATCTCGAAAACGTTTCGAGGGATTACCTTACTTATATTAGGGAGGGGTATTACGACTATCAAACTCAACTGCCTCATGAATGGGAATAACTCGAAATTTCGGAAAAAATACATATCTTCGTTTAACACCCTGTAGTATAATGCTATGTGCAAAATATCGTATTCCCAAAATTAGACATAAGAGTCAAAGAATCAGCTATTCAGAATTTCCAAAGATTTTCAAAATCGATTCAGTAATTTTCCAATAACGAGCTTTCAAATATTATCCAAAAAACTAGGTGCGTCGATTTTTATGACGAGCAGTTTATAATAAATATATTTATTATGGTGGATTAAATGTGGTTTGTTTATATTTATTGGGTCATATATTACACAATTATCGGAAATTTTTATCCTTTTTTATTTAAATAACCACTATAGAACACCCCATATCAGAAACTTTAGCTTGCCACATTTGTACCTTTAATCTGCCATAGAACCTTTAGCGCGCCTTTATTGACTTCCGTTACATGCCCATTAAAGGTGAATGCGAAATAATATGTACAGTTCCATTAGAGTTAGCCTTTACAGGCCTTTAGTTCTTTAAAGGCACGTTTATAAAGGTCTTAATAGAACTTTTACAGTTTTGTTTGCTGGGCTACTCCTACATTGACGAGTCACAGCTGTGACTATGGCGTTTTAGTCACGGGCTGAAGTTAGCAATAGTGGCTTTTGAACATTTTAGTCACGGGCTGAAATTAGCTTTAATATAAATTAGGTAGGCTGAAGGACCCCGGTCGATGGCCTTTTGTATATTTTGTATTTTATTGTTCTTTATGTACCTACTTAATATGTAATAAAAACTTTATTTATTTATTTAATTATAAATTAAGGAAAAGTAAGGTTAAATACGTTAAAGGTTGACAGATGTCAACCATAGATAAAGTATAGTATGCAACTCGTTTTATACCCAAACTTCTATAGTCACTCGTTTTTATTAAACACACGCTTGAAAGCTTCGCTTTCGCCTAATAAAATGGTGTTTATAAAAATTATACAGAATATAAAATTTTCTACTCCTATTTCATAGTATTGAAATTTTTTGTGTTTTTTCTCTATATAATTATGACCATTATAAACAACGGGCATTTTATTCACGGGATAATTAGCCCGTTAGCTTTATTATAAATTGAGGTTAAATCCGTTGACAGACGTCAAACAAAATTGGCTTTAAATTCTGTTTTGTGTTGGTTGTAATAAAGTATACTATATATATAGTATGCAACTCGTTTTATACCGAAACTTCTCTATTCACTCGTTTTTATTAAACACTCGCTTGAAAGCTTCGCTTTCGCCTAATAAAATGGTGTTCATAAAACTTATACAGAATATAATATTCTTTACTCCTATTCGCTCCTATTATATAATAGGAGTACATAATATTGACATTTTTTGGATTTCCCTATATAATTATAACCATTATAAACAACGGGAAAAATTAACTCATGAGGCATCAGTGATTTGCTGATTTCAATATTTATTGTGATTTGAACCAATCGGGTAGTTGCAATATAAAAACATCAGTCGCCCCTGGTATACTACTATAGTACTATAATAGTAGTAGTAGTCTACTATTGTGTTCTGTGGCATACTAAATAAAATCTGACATGTGTGAAATGATCTAACCTCACTTTTTAATTTCTCCTTTATTTTTTTATTTATCCCATTGAACATTATGCAATAGGAGTGGAAAAAGAATAGTATACTTTTACAATGGAAATAATGCGCATTATCTCCCATTTAATTAATATAAACACCCTATATTTTTTTGAAGTAAAAATCCTGCTTGTCAGAAAAGAAACTAAATAGAAAAATGATAGGTACCATACAGTAAAAAAGGATATTAGGGCTTACAATTTGTGACATAAAAGGTATTAATCCAAAAGGGGCCATTTTCTCCTCTGTAAACTTTACAGTGTAAAGTTAAAAATTTTAAATGTGTTTACAGTGTAAACACATTTAAAATTTTTAACATTTTGACGCTCACCGGTAAAACATAAATGTCATACCCACGATACCTTTTGAGACTCCCTGGTTTGTTTTGACGTTTACGGTTTACTATTGATTTTTAAAAATAGTGTGGTTTAAAAATAATTGGAAAGTTCATTTAATGTGATATTACCTGACTCAGGTGGGTTAAATTCTTTTGTATTATGTATATCCTTGTATTCTATTTCAACGCTGTTTTCGATCAACTCCTTATAATTACATGTTTTGAGGTTAGAATTAGAATGAATAGGTTTTTCGGTTATTAATTCGCTTAGAATCCACTGGTCTTCAATGTATTTATAATGTCTTGCATGGCGGGTAGGAAAATAAATGGCAATTAACAAAACTATTACACAAATTGGTAGAAAACATTTTAAAAACATTATATTCCAACGTTACATATTTGACATTGCAAATCACTTTTTGGTGGAATTTCTGGTGAGATTGACGTGGAAGTAACCAGATCATGCGCAGTGTAGCCTTACGTGGCATACTAATAACTATAGTGAAGTGTAGTAATGCCCTTTATTTAAGTAATTTTTAATAATTTATATTGGATAAATAAATGTAAGTAACTTGGGGTAATTAAGTATAGTTTAAAGTATATTTTGAAGTACAATTTTCGACAAAAAGTCATTTTATAGATATGATATTTAAAAGTTAAATTGGGTCATACATTTCCTTAAACTGGATTATTTTTATATATTGTGCATATGTTTCATGCAATTTGATATTTTTTTAACAAAGGGAAAGTGGTTTTAGATAAACGAACAATATGCATTTTAAATATAAACCTCAAAACATAAGATTTGGCCTCAGCAGCTGTGTAAATAAGTTACAATAACAATATTTACATTGTTTATTAATATATATGGCCTGTCAAAGGATAGGTACATTTATAATTAATCATCTTTAATTTAATTTGCAGTCCATAACAATGCATCCCCAATACATGCCCCAACAACAATACACAGGACCTCCACAGAACTTTGCAAATCAAGGGCCACCGCCTGGACAACCGGGATTTCAAAATGTACCCCTAGAGCCCTCAAAACCAAACATTCCAGGACAAATGCCCCCAACATCAAGCAACGGAATACCCCCACAAAGTCAACAATTTCCTCCAAATGTTGGCCCTCCAGGAGGATTTAGACAAATACCTTCGAATCAGTTGCCTCCTGGTGGCGATCAAAGACCACCATCGAGACCACCCTCAAATCAGTTTGCACCCCCACCGAACATAAAACCAGGAGAACCAGGCCCACCTGGTGGACAACCACAGTTTCAAAATGGTTCAAGCGGACAACAGTTTCAAAACGGTCTCAGTTTTGGCATGCCACCAGGTAAATAATCAGTTTAATTGTTAATTTTTGTAGTGACATTGCCTAAATTACCAGTATTGAAAAAAAGATCATAATAATTAATGTAAAAGAAAATGTTTTTAACATTTTAAATTAAAAATGATTGAATATTGCTTATTATTTTTTATTTTAATAGTGGTGATAAGGAAATTGAAAGTTTAATGAATATTTTATTTAAATAAAAAAATATTATTTATTCTTAGGTTTACCGCAGTTTACTGTTTAAAAGTTTTAAATTTAAACAGTTTAATGTCTATTTGATTCCTTAAATCTTCTTTTAGACCTCTTAAAACAATGCTTAATCTAAAAATACTACATTTTATTCAAAAATTAAATCATTTAATTTAAATTTTTAAACACATTTATACAGTAAAAACAAAACAAAATAACTTGCTACAAGTATTAACCTAGTAATTTTATTATCCATTAGTGTACAGATTTCATTTATTATAAAATATAAAACTTAAATTATCTTTAATGTTTTTTTAATAATAAGTTTTAAACCATCATTATACAGGGTTATAAATAATCATTAGGAAAACAATTAGAATGAGATTCATTGCACAAAAATAAAAAAACTTCCTACCTATTAACTAGTTTTTGAAATCATTTTGCCCCCAAGATGTGTGAGATTTTTTTTAAATTCATAATATTCTTTGGGATAAAAGTGTTTCATTTTTAATAATAATACTGTTTATTTCCATCTAAAAAATTTACATTTTGTTGAATAATGTCAATTTTTATTTTAAGTAAATACTTTTTTTTAAATCTCCACATTTTTTTCCCATGTACATATGTATTTTTACTTGCCTAAAGTCTAAAGAGACATTTGTTTTTTTTTTAAATAGTGAGATACATAAAAGTTTTTAGAAAAAACGGAACAAATCAAAAGCAGTGGAGTGCAATATTTCTTCTTAAAAATATCAGTTAAGATTCCCCTGGGATGCCACTGGTTTAAATAAGTTAAATATAATTACATAAAAAACTCACCATTATTTTAATAGACAAAAAGGATAAAATAGCTAAAATTGCGGGGGCAGAAACAGGTGAGGTAGGAGAATAAAATTATTCTCAAAATGTTCAGAATTTATATTTGGGAAAAAATAATAACAAAAATTTGAGTGGTTTTTTCGAGAAAAATTAGCTTTTTAAAGCGTCGGGAAAACAAATGGGAAAAATTGTTTTTCCTTTTTTTCCCTGGGCCTTGGAAAATTGTCTTTTTTGAAAAAAATTAAATTATTTGGAAAATTTTAAAATATTATTTTTCTTAGAACTAATTCTTTGGTCTTTAAGTTTTTTTTGAGCGTTTACAGGAAATTTAAAAAAACAGTTACTTTTGCGTAAAACAACATTTGTCATAAACATTTTCTGTATTTCTGCATTAACAAATTTTATTCACCTATAACTATAGAAGAAAAACAGTTTTTGTAAAAATTTTGTTTTTTCCAGAACCCGTTATTTAATTTTTCTGAGAAGGTGTTCTTAAAGCTGGCAGAGCAAAGTTAGCAGAACGAAATTTTAATAATTCCATAATTATGACATTGTGCTAATACAATGCTAATTAAATGCACTAATTACAAATTAAAAGCTCTTTTTCAAAAAACACGTTCTACCAGAAGTATAGTAAATGGGCTAATAAAAAAATATATAAAATGGATGTTGAAATGTTCAGATAGTTAAATGATACTTTAATGCACTAATTAAAAAGTCGCGACTGACGTAATAATTTTACGATTTCATGTAATTGTTACAATAAAACTCAACCCAACCCAACACTCATAATGTAAGTATATTATAATAAAAAATAACCATTAAATTTTTAATTAGCATTTTACATTCATTTTTTAAGTATTTATTAGCGCAATAACTATAATAATTGTTCTTTTAACTTTTCTAAAGCTGGCAGAACAGGTTTTTTCGTTAAAAAAAAGAGGATTACATTTTTAATAAGTGCATTTTATTAGCACCTAATTATGGGATTATAAAATTTGCGTTTTGCTAACTTTGCTCTGCCAGCTTTAGGGACATAAAGAGGTCCCTTTCTGAATCACATATTAAAAAAAATCGAATCGTTTCCGTAAACTAGTTAATAGGAAGTTTTTTTTATTTTCATGTGATGAATCGCCCGGTATATAGTTAATTAATGTAAAACTTTTATTTATTTGAAAGGTCCAAATCAACCAACTTTAAATAAAAATCCTATGGGTCAACCTGCCATGCCAGGTCAACCTCCCATGCAAGGGCAGCCTCCAATGATGAGACAGCCACCAATGCAAGGTCAGCCTTCCATGTCTGGTCAACCTCCCATGGCCGGTCAACCTCCCATGGCAGGTCAACCACCCATGCCGGGTCAACCTCCTATACCAGGTCAACCTCCAAATCAAACTCATCCTCCTATGACTGGTCAACCACCAATGCAAAATCAGCCTCCCACTGTAGGTGAAAGGCATTCCCCAATGGCAGGTCAACCCCCCATGCAAAAACCCCCCACTTCAGGACAAGGGCAACCTCCCATGCCTGGTCAACCACCAATGCAAAATCAACTCCCTCCACCAGGACAGGGACCACCACCAGGTCAAAACCAACCACCAAATCCCGGAGGTTTTGGTATGGGTCAACCTCCAGCGTCGACGCCTGGATCTTTTGGTCAGCCAATAAACTCCGGCCCTGGAGGCTTTAGTGCGCCACCCATGTCAAGGCCTGGTCAACCTCCGGCCCCAGGACAAAACCCTCTCATGCAAAAGAACCGTTTTCCTCCTATGCCCGGTCCAAATCAACCTCCAATGCCCGCTCAAAATATGCCTCCTATGCCCAGTCCAAATCAACCTCCAATGCCCGGTCAAAATATGCCTCCTATGCCCGGCCCAAATCAACCGCCAATGCCTGGTCAAAGTATGCCTCCCATGCCTGGGCAACCTCCCATGTCAAGACAGCCTCCCATGCCTGGGCAACCTCCTCTTCCTGGTCAACAATATCCTGGTCAACAGTTCCCAGGTCAGCAACCTCCCATGCCAGCCCAATACAATCAACTAAACAGTCAGATGCAAAATATGAATCTTTCCAACAGACAGCAATACCCAGGTAATAATAATAATATTTATGTATTACACAGTTTATAGAATATATAAATAGAGAAGTAAAAAAACGATTTTTTCAGATTTGAAAAAAAACTTAAAAAACAAAATTTGGTTTTTTTTGTTTTTTTTTTCAAATGCGCTTCAATAAAACATATCCTGTCAATCTAAAAAAATTGAGTATTTTTCAATATGAAATTTTGAAGAAAATGTATATTTATAATACAATGAAATATAATACTGCAAATGCGGCCTAACTGAAAAAAATCATTTTGTGGTTTTATCTTTAAATATTCCTATTATGGAGTTAACTAGCCTACTAAAGTGTGTTTTAATAAGAAGAGTAGTTACCACTATATTAAAATACTTTTATCCGAAATCGGCAGTAAAGTAGTCAACAATCGGTAGTAAAGTAAAAGAAATCGGCAGTAAAGTAGAACTTTACTGCCGATTTAATACGAGTATTGTATGCAACCCATTATACATTTTAAGATGTGTCTACTGCTCCTCAGCAGCAACTAAATATTATTTAAAAAAAGCACAGTCGCGGAGGTCGATTAGACCCTTTCATAAAATGTTGTTTAATAAAAATAATAAGTTAATTTTATTAATTAGATTAAAAAATCTCCGCGGCGGGCAAATATATAATAACCGTCGCAACAAACAGTATACGTAGGCACTTCCTACATTCAAATGACATTTGATTTTATTATCAATATTAATTATTAGTATTATTAAATGTGATTTCGGATAAAATTTAATATGCACCTCGGCATTAAAGTCATTTTTTATCACTCACGTAGTTATTTGCCTCGGCTTTCGCCTCGGCAAATAATTTCCACATTCGTGATAAAAAATACGACTTTACTGCCTTGATACATATACTAACTAACTATATTAGGCTAGTTTACTCGATAAGCGCATAGTAGAAATATTTTAAGATAAAAAACCAAAATTATTGTTTTAGTTAGGCCGCTTTTGCAGTATACGCCTCAAATTTAGAATACTAAAAAATTTGATTTCTTATTATTTGGTAGTTTACACATAAGAAACCAATAACAATGTAAAAAAACTTCTTGAAGTATATTATAGGTAGTTACTTTTTTTAAGACCAAATCAAAACAAACCCTGTGGTTGGAGCGCGGCCCTTATTGGTCAATTCGGTGGAGATGGCGCGTGACTATTTATATTTAATAAATGTCATTTAGTGGCTAAACTGGACTGAAATCATAAAAAATTGGGCAAATGAAACTATTCTTGAAAAAAAACATTTAAAAAAAACAGTAAAAAAAAACTGAAAAAAAAAACGGATCGTTTTTTTTCAAGTCACAACTCTATACAGGGTGTTCCGAAATTAGTGCACCATACTTTAACAGCAGATTGCACGTGCAAAAATAAGAAAAAAGTCCCTATACATATAGGTCAAGAAATGCCTCCTAATTGAGCTACAGCCCCCAAAAAGGGAGCCCCTGAATATGGTTTTTATCTAATATTTATAAAAAAGTAGAAACACCCTTACTACATGAAACTGTCACCTGTATTGGATTATTCTATTTTTTTCTAAACATGGCAGCCGTATTCCAAGGACCACGCGAGTCCATTTCTATGGTTGTGATTTAATTATGAATTTTTATGCCATGTAAAATAATTTTCAAATCGATTTTAAGCGAAAACGGTGTATGTTATCGAAGTTCAACAAGATGACCTTTTTTTATGTGCAAAACTCCAAAATTTCATAATCTGACATCAAATTCTGGTACATGATACGTACAAAAAAGTTAAGGTGGTTTTAACCCCACTCCCTATTAATCTGACCCAAACCTCATAAATTTTTTGAAATTGTTATTGTTACGTCTTATTGGTCATAAAAAGTTTAATTAATTCCCCAAATTTCACTTTTCTATCTTTAACGGTTTTGGAGATATTAAATTAAAACCATCTCCAGGGGCTTTCCTTTTGGGGGCTGTAGCTCCCTTAGGAGGCATTTCTTGACCTATATTTATAGGGACTTTTTTTTCTTATTTTTGCACGTAGAATCTGCTATAAAAGTATGGTGCACTAATTTTAGGACCCCTTGTATATAAAACATATTGGACCAGTTGAGTAAAATTACAAAATAATATATACCAAAAAGAAAAATATCTTAAAAATTATCATTAAAAAACTTGTTCACAGAATAGTATTCCTTCTCTAAAAACAGAGTATGCAGCTTGTTTTTTAACAACTTGGAACATTTACAATAAGAAACAATAGACATAACTTTATTGTAGGGCCTTTCCATCTCAAACCGACCAGCTAATAAGGGGTAGGTCGTTGTCATTTTTTTTATATTGTTTTTTTTTAAACGGCAAAAAAAATTTAGGTCAAAATTTGGAAATTTTTTTTACTTTATATCTTTTTCGTTTGAAGTTAATAATAGGAACAACTTTTTACCAAAAGTCCCGAATTGGCTAAATTCGTCGTTTCGGAATTATTAGTTTTTTAATGAAATGCCATTTTCTAGTAAATTCGTGGTTCATCGCAAAAATTTGTTATTTTATCTAGGGTCAAGAAACTGGGGTTACCTTTATAAAGTGTACTTCAGAACTTTTTGACATATTTAACATATTTTTGTCAAATGGTTATAAATTTTTATTTTTTAATAAAACACCCTATGCATTTTTACATGTTTTGATTCAAATTGGCTTTTCCGCTTCAGTTGGGCCAAGTTATCTGGAAAAAATACAATTTTATTCTTTGCAATGCTAGTTTTTAGAAGCTTTTAAAAATTGAAAAACCATACTTTTGTTGTTCATAAAAGAAATACACTTTTTTTAAATTTGATACCAAATATTAACTAATTTTTTAATAATATCGCTTTCAAACTCAATTAAATTTGTATGCTTATTAGATTTTAAAGTGTGTACAGAAGTAAATAAATTAAGAAGACTTTGAAACCTTTGTATTTAAAAGAAGTATCAGATTTGACAGTTAAATTGTTTTGCTGGGAAGTGAATATTATTTTACTATGAAAACATACGCTAAAACTTTTTATAAAATTAATTAAAAATAATAATTGAGGTGATTAGAATCAAAGGGGTGTAAGTAATTGCTCAACATTTTTTGGTTTTAAATCTACTAAATAAAATCATTCAAATATTTTAAAACGATTATAAAAAGTTATATCTAACCACCCAATAGTGTGGCCATTGTAGGGAATATCTTGCAATAAATAATAAACGAAATATGAAATCAAATAAAAATTTGTTATTTCTAAACATAATTAACATGCGCATTAGTTTTTGGACCTCTTAGGCTTAATACTTATTTCCCTTCCTGATAAAGCCTCAGTCAAAAAGAGTTTTGCGACTGCCTCACTCATATCTGTTAATAGACCAGGTAGGTATATAATACTTTATTTTTATTATTTTAACCAAAATTAATTTGGGTATACTTTTTAAATCTTTTAAAAGTTACACATGCAAATATATTAAGAATTTTACTCTAAAATTCTTAATAATTTAATTTACTTAAGAGCACTTCCGGTGAAACCAGAATTGACAAAAATATGTTAAATATGTCAAAATGTTCTAAATAACACTTTATAAAAGTCACCCCAGTTTTATGATCCTAGATAGAATACCAAATTTTTACGATAAACCACGAATTTACTAGAAAATGGCATTTTCATAAAAAAAAATATAATTCCGAAACTCGCATTTTCAAGAAAAAATGTCACTTGTAAAAAGAGAAAAATCGATGTTTATGTCAAATTTAAACAAAAATTTCGTTCAAAAATAACGAACTACCCCTTTTTGCCTCGTCGATTTGGGATGGAAAGGCCCCTATGTATGTTACCATGAGTCAAAATGTGTGTGGTACTTGAAATCATTTGAAATTATTTCAGGTCAAATGAGAAACGGCGAAAGCCCACACATGCCCCCACCAATGGGCCAGCAACAATACAATGGACAGCAAATGAGAAGTCCCCAGCAACCTGGGTATCCGCCGATGCCTGGTCAAGGAGGTCCCGGAGGTTATAACCAGCCTGGTTATCCTCAACAACAACCTCAAGAGCCACAAAGGAGATTAGACCCTGATCACATGCCTAATCCTGTAAGTTTTCCAATGCATTATTTCATTAACTAACAGCATGCTTTAAATAACATTATTTCTCAGTCGATTATTCTGCTTAATTTAATAAAAGATACACCAGCTAAAAGGCCAGTCGCTTTCCACTCACATTAACATATCATTCATACTTTTTCTACAATCTTCTAAAGTACTAACTGGTACAACGATAATATTTGCTTATTCTCAAATTTTATAATTGTAGGAGATGCTTGCCTTAGCCAAATATTTTGACTGTGTGAGTATTTAATTGATTAACTCGAGGGGTAAACCACTTAAAAATCTTAGAGACCAATGTTCAATGTTAGTGGACGTTGTGTTGAGATTTTTTTCCTTATCAGTCGTTATCAATAAGGAAAACTTGCTTAATCGGTGCTTAATCGGTGCTTAATCAGTGCTTAGCGACGCGTTGTACATGACTACCCTTGTTATTGTTATCCTTAGCCGTTAATTCGTAAGCATTTTTTAACTTAAAAAAATCAGTGGTTTACCCCTCGGATTAACTTTATATTAATCCCTTAATCTGTCTCTTTACCTCAACAATATAGTTTTTGTTTACTGTTGCAAGTATCAATGATATGTTAAAAACAAAAATTAAGAATCACTTCATGCCAGGCAATTTTCGAAAATCATTGTTAGGCACACTGGTCTTAAAAAAATTATCACAAAAAATCTTGACATAAACTGGGAGTGGGGGGTTATTTTGGATACTTTCGTAATCATTTTCCCGTTTCTTTAGAAATCTGAGCTATCCTCCAAAAAAAAGCAATATCAGTAAATTTCCCATTTATTAAGTCAAAATTAGTGAAATAAGTAGAGATGGGAAAATTGCCATTTCCCGAAAATTCCCAGAAACTATTTATAGAAAATTTACGAAACTTTCCGAATGTTACAAACATTTTTTTAGTGGAAATGAAGCAGTTTTGACTAATAAAATATCAAAAGAAAACTACAGGCAAATAAAATCAACATTTTTGAGTGAACCTGACTCTATCATTTAAAAAAATACAGGGTCTGGAGTTGCTACAATTATATTTATTAGTGCGACCCCATTGACATCTGTCTAACCACCTGAAAGAATTGTCATATTATCATTCTCTTGTACTTTTTGGATTCTAGCATATTCATAGTTAAGCAATGTTGTACTTGATTTCTTTCTTCCAGGTAGTTTGAAACTTGGACGTTGCTTAAAAAATATTACAGTGATTTCAAATAAAATAAAGGGGTAAGAACTAGAGTAAATTGCTCTTTATGCAACGATTTATGGATTGTGATGTTGAAATCTTCAACAAACTTTTTCTTCTTTGAATTAACACAAATTAACTTCTTCTTATTCAGTTTCTTGGCCTTAACTTCACAAATCAGTTGTTAAACAATTGACATTTACATAAAAAATAGGGAAATTTTCCGGGAATATTTCCGGTAACTTTAAAAGAAACTTTTAAAATAAAAATACATTTCCGACTGAAAACTTTCCAAAATGAAAACTTTCCGATTCCCAACTTTAGAAATAAGCATGAGATTTTTACCATGGTAATAACTATCAGTAAAAGTACTGGGTTGCCTTATAATATTCCTTGAATATTACATTGAAAATGTAATACAGGGTATATTTTCCAATTAAGTGTTGTTCTAAATAAAAAAAATAACATCTTATGAACAATTAGTTAGATTTGGGGAAAAATATATATTACGTGTGAATAAATAAATGATCTTTGCAATAAAATCTTTAAAAATCTGAAATGTTGCATTGTGGCCATTTTTAATAAAAAAAATACGAATTTTGCAAAAAATTGCTTTTTTAAATACCCATAACTTTTTTAAAAAATTACTAAATGGGACGTGTTTTTTTAATTTTTTTATTCTTTAATTTACGTTTCAGAAAAAAATAAAAAACCAATTCAATGTCAAATTCTATTAAATTTTTCAGTTTTCAGTTCGCCATTTTTTTTATTTTTTTAACTTCGATTTATTCTTTGATTAATGCAGCTTTTTCCATAGTGGGCAGACTTCTTTTTCTATTATTTTTAGTACAACTTAAGTATATTACTATTTTTTATGATGTAAAACAGCAGCTTTGATACGGATCGCGTTTTTTTAAGAATAATTGCAAAGCATACTAAACTCTGGATTTACGTTGAGTATTGGAAAAACCTTACGTTTGAACGTTTTTGTGATCGCTGGAAAATCACTAAAAAACAGATAAAAAGGAAGCTCTCATCTTAGAGACTAAATTCAAATATAGAGTATAAGTCACTGATAGTGTTTTAAAATTTCCGGAAAATTAAATTAAAAAACCCGGAAAAATTGGTAAATAATATTCGTAATATGCAGAATTTTATCAAATTTTCCGAATTTTCAGAAAAACTGAGTTGCTTTTATTCTTTTATCCGCACTACGGATTTATTTACCTACCTTTAAATTTATTAGCCAGCTAACTGTTAAGGTAACAGATTATAAAACTTAAAGTTACAATGGTTGACATAATTGTAACTATGACAATTAAGCATTAGGTAAATTTAGTAAAGTGAATATACTGACCCTTAATTTTTATTTGTCGCCAAATCAAACCCCCGCCCACCCAACCAATCCCTTGTCTATGATCAATCCGTTAAACGTCATTAAAAAACGGATGCATGAAAATTAGAACATTTCTTATTGGACGATTTTATTGAAAAACGTACAAACGTATAACGGACAAACGGATACATGAAAATTAAGCTTAAATCGGTACAAAAATTTCATAATCTAGCATCAAAGCACTAAACAAACTATCCTACTGGGCGAGTAGCAACGGCCCGGCGAAACCGAGAGAGGCTATTTAAACTATTCGCATGTCGCTCTCAAGACCCAAATAGGGTACAGTACCGTCAAATACGGGTGAAGCCGTGCAGTTGCCAATGGCATAAAAAAATCGGCTTGATAAGGCAATGGGGACAGTTATACGACTCTTATACTCATACTTATGGTGAAAACTCCATGCTTATTTCAAGAATTTTGACTTAATAAACGGGAAATTGTCTAAAGGGGGATTAGCTCGGATTTCTAAAGAAACGTGAAAATAATTACAAAAGCTTATAATAGTTTTTGTCGTTTTATTTTGTGATAATCCTTTCCTTTAAGCTCAATGTGTAGGTTGATAGAATTTGTGTAATATAATAATAAGTTTTAATTTAGATTCAAGTTACTCAAGATGACCAACAAAATAGATCTGGAGTTTTTGTCACAAACCAAAAAGGGTTGGCCCCTCCACTAGTAACCACAAATTTCGTGGTTCAAGATCAAGGAAACGCAAGTCCACGTTTCATGAGGTCCACAATGTACAACGTGCCAATATCACAGGTGAAATTTTTTTATCGACGAATAAATTAGTTTTTATTTTATTTTTTTGTTCACATAGGATATAGTTAAGAACACTGCAGTGCCCTTCAGCTTAGTTATAAGCCCCATGGCAAGAACGGTAGATCAAGAATATCCTCCGCCAATTGTAAATTTCGGCGAATTGGGTCCCGTAAGGTGCATAAGATGCAAAGCTTACATGTGTCCGTTTATGCAGTTTATCGATTCGGGAAGGAGATTCCAATGTTTGTTCTGCAAAGCTACCACAGATGGTAATAATAAAATTTAGATTAAATTTTAGGTACAGAAACATTTAACAAACACATTTCAAACATTTTCAAAATATTACGGTGCCTTTCCATCTCAAATCGACCGGTCGTTATTTTTTACCGATTTTTTTTATCTTCACCCGTAGGACAGAAACATCGATTTTTCTCTTTTTACGAGTGACATTTGCGATAACTTGGCCAAAAATGTTTCGATCGTTACATTTGTACGTAAATGTTTACTACATACAAAAAAAATATATAAAAAATGAAGTAAATTAGACAATTTTTTTTTAAATGTTTTTTTCTAAAAAGGCAAAAAAAAATTAAGGTCGAAATGTTGACATTGCCACATGTTTTTTTACTTCATATTTTTTTTCGGTTGAAGTTGATAATTTGAATAACTTTCACCAAAAGACCCGAGGCTAATTTCGTCATTTCGGAATTATTATTTTTTTTAATGAAAATGCCATTTTCTAGTAAATTCGTGGTTCATCACAAAATTTGGTATTTTATCTAGGATCATGAAACTGTGGTGACCTTTTGACATATTTAACATATTATTGTCACTTTTTTCCGGAAATCTTTTTATTTTTTAATGAAACACCATATGCATTTTTACATATTTCGATTTCAAATAAAATTCTGAATATATACGTATGTCATTTGTCAATTTATTTTTTGATTAAAATTTTATTTCTATATCTAGAGTGCATTGAATTGGCTTTTCTGCTTCATGTTAGGCCAAGTAGTCTGGAAAAAATACAATTTTATTCTTTTTTGCAATGCTGGTTTTTAGGAGCTGTTTTAGGAGAACTGAAAAACCATACTTTATGCCCAAACAATTTTTTTTTTAATAAAAGAGGGTGGTTTGTTGGTCATAAAAGAAATCCACTTTTTTAAAATTTGATACCAAATATTAATGCATTTTTTAATAATATCGCATTCAAACTCTTAATTAAATTAGAATGGTTATTCGGTTTTAAAATGTGTACAGAAAAAAATAAATTAAGAAGGCTTTGAAAAATTTGTGTTTAAAAGAAGTATCAGTATATTATCAACTTCAAACGAAAAAATATGAAGTAAAAAAAATGTGGCAATGTCAATAATAATAATAATAATAATAATAAGTTTATTAGCCCAACGGAAAAATCCAATAATAGGACAATAATAATAATAACAATATTAATACATAGGTAATGTAAAATATAAGAATTAATTTGATCTAAGGTAAGTTATACAACAATTAACAATTTCATTTAAGGTACAATTATTTATATCACATAGATTTGAAATAACATTAAAATTGCGTGTTATAACATTAGTAGGCGAGTACAATGCAACATTTGTGCGACAAAATTGGCTAAAAAATGTGCAGTCGAATCTGGCGTTTAAACGTGGGACAAAAAAATGCAAACTAGACAATAAAACATTTGAATCGATTAAATTATTTAATAATTTATATAAAAATACTTGACTGGCTATGAATCTTCTATCAGCCAATGAAATTAAGTTAAAACGAGTTAATAAAAGCGTATGGTCAAATCCTCTTGTTGGATATACACCATCCCAAGCAGCAATTTAAGTAAAAGCGTAGAGCTTTGAGGCAATATTACTTAATTTAAGTAAATATTTTGTTAAATTAACCTTAAAAAGTAAAACTTTTTTTTAAAGTTATAATGTAAGTTTTATTTATGTTATTTTTACCTATTTTAATAACCCTTAAGTTTCAACACTTTAAAGTATTATGAGGGACGTAATTTTTACGATAGAAAATTACTTATTAGTGTATTTCACCTAAAGGAAAATTTAACGGTAATTTTAACGTCAGAATTTTTACTTAATGGTAAATTTTACTCATAAGTCATAATTTTACGATATTAAGACCACTTTATAACCGTAAATAATTCCTATTCGCCTGGTATTTTTTAGGGTTATTAGTGGGTAATAAACACTAATAATATTGACTAAACAAGGAAAAATAAGCTTAAAGTGAAAAATAAAACTTTGCGGGAATTTTTTTTAGGCCGCCATAATGAGTTTTTTAAGATGGCATCCATTACTTATCTAAACATTTATATAATATTTTTTCATGGATATCTTTCTAAAATATAATAAGAAAAGTTTTAGTTAATTAAAAATGATTAAAACTAAATGATTTTTAAAAGATTTTATAAAATTTTGTAGGTTTTAAGTTTTGTTGAATCTTTACCCAAGCAATAATTTTTCTTAAAACCGTAAAATATTTAGAGGGCATATAATTTTTAAGACGTATCGTACCTATTTTTATCAATAAAATAATGTGCGTTTGAGTTTTAATGCAAAATATCAATGGTTTTGACAATTTAAGTTATATTTTTTAATTTTACTCTAGGGTGGCCTTTATTACTTTGTAATTACTTAAGTTCCTACCATTTTGTAAAATATAAATTAAAAGAACAAAGAAATTACGAATATCAATGTTTAAGAAAGAGAGCAAACAGTTAGTAATTATAGCGTTATTTTTACGTAAATTTGTAGTATTTATATTGTTTTTATTACGTAATTCTCTTAGTAGATCAAAAAGGTTATTATGTGGGTAAAATAACGAAATAAACCATTCCCCAAATTTGGTAATTTTTCGTATCTATACCGTTATAAAACCGTTTTGGTTAACCGTAAAAAATACTTTAAAGTTGACTTAGTAGTAAATTTGTAGTTATTTAAACTTAAAATGCTGCTTGGGATCACTCTTAAATGCCAAATATTTTATAAATCTCCGTTGCACTTTTTCTAATTGGGAGATGTACACATTGTAGTAAGGGTAAAAAATAAGGCTTCCATATTCGAGTTTTGAACGCACTAAAGAATAGTATAAAGTTTTAAGTGTTTCAATATTCCTAAAATCCTGACAGTTACGCATAATAAACCCTAAGGAGCGCATTGCTGAAGAACTTATAGCTTGAATATGTTCTGAAAATGAAAGTTGATAATCAAAAACTATGCCGAGATCTTTAAACTTATCAGTTCGTATAAGAGATTCATTATTTAAACTATAATCATATACAATCGTTTTGGACTTTAAAGTAAATGAACACACTTTACACTTCTTTAAGTTCAATAAAATAAAATTGTTAGTACACCAATCATTCACAATATCCAAATCCTTCTGAAGCTCATCACAGTCTTCAATATTTTTTATTTCACGATAAAGTTTTAAGTCGTCAGCGAAAAAAAGCTTTTTTCCGGGTAACAAAAAAGACAAATCATTAACAAATATATTGAATAACAAGGGACCCAAATTGGACCCCTGCGGTACACCTGACGAAACTAAATATGTATTAGAGCGATAACCATTATACATAACAAATTGCATTCTGTCCTGCAGGTACGATTTAAACAAATCAACCAGTGTCAAATTAAAACCGTATGATTTCAGTTTGTCAACCAAGATTCCATGATCGACCGTATCAAAGGCCTTCGAAAAGTCTGTGTACAATACATCAACCTGGCTCTTTTTTTCAAACGCATCCGTTATAAAGTCTTTAATTATTGAGAGATTTGTTATTGTGGATCTGTTTGAAACAAAACCATGCTGATCATTCGATAAAAATGTCTTTACTTGATCTCGCAATTCATTGTACACAAATATTTCAAAGACCTTGGAAAAAATTGGCAAAATGGAAATGGGACGATAGTTTCCCACCTGACCTGGATCACCCGATTTAAATACGGGACACACCTTTGATATTTTCCATGACTTGGGTATAGTTGTAGTATCTATAATTTTATTTATAATAGTACATAAAGGCTTACAAAATATAACTGCACAATCTTTTAGAAAAAAGCTAGGAATAAGGTCATGACCTGCGGTATTTTTATTCGGTAATTTTTTTAAAATCTTAGTAATAATTTCCTCTGTCGGTGGAGAAATAGTAATATGCTGATTACAAAGATTTGAAAAATTTGGAACTGTTATTCCATGTGGAAGAGAGTAGACCGATCCAAAGAAGTCGGCGAATCCATTGACAATTTCCCTTTGATCCCCTAATTCAACTCCTTCATTGTAAACCTTGCCAGGTATTCTACTATTATTATGTTTGCTATGTATAAATGACCAAAATGATTTAGGCTCTTGGGAGATACTATTTTCAATATAACTGAGATGAAGCTTATGGGCAGATGCTATTAGCCTTTTGGTGTGTGCTCGCAATCGGGAAAAATCAGAGTAGTAATGTTTTCTATTCGTACGCTTGAATTTATTAAAATAATATGCTTTTAACTTGAGACTATCCACTATTTCTTTAGTATACCACAAGGGGTACTTATTTTTTGAAGAAGATTTAAATATTGATACATGTGTGTCTATAATGTTATAATTTTGACCTCAATTTTTTTTGCCTTTTCTAGAAAACACAATTTATAAAAATCGTATGAATTCCCTTAATTTTTTATATATATTTTTTAAATATATTAAAGATTTACCTACCTACAATTTAGAAAAAAAATTTGGCCAAGTTATCGCATTTTTAAGAAAAAATGTCACTCGTAAAAAGAAAAAAATCGATGTTTCTGTCAATTTTTCAAAAATTTCCTTTAGGTAAAAAAAAGACGGCTCTCATCGATTTCGGTAGAAAAACTGTAAAAAATAACGTCCTACCCCTTTTTTCCTGCTCAATTTGAGTTGGAAAGACACTACGTTTTTTTTAAACGTTTTCTTTTAGTTCCTCAAGAATACTTTCAACACTTGGACCATACTGGTCAGAGAATGGACCGCTATGAACGTCCGGAATTGGTTTTGGGAACGTACGAATTTGTGGCCACCGCGGATTATTGCAGGAACAACACGTTACCGAAACCTCCTGCGATTATTTTCGTAATCGACGTATCTTATAACAACATCAAATCTGGTCTGGTAAATTTGCTGTGCTCCCAAATAAAGGACATCATACAGAACTTGCCTGTCGATCAAGGACACGAGAAGAGCAACATGCGCGTCGGTTTCATTACTTACAACAGCTCCGTGCATTTTTATAACATTAAGGTAAACTAATTACGTTAATATTATTTTGCTGTAAGTTTCATACATTTATTTTTATTTATCAGGGTACTTTGGCTGCTCCTCAAATGATGGTTGTGGGCGATACACAAGAAATGTTCATGCCTTTGTTGGATGGGTTTTTGTGCACTCCCGAGGAATCGGAGGCTGTAATTGACGCTCTCATGCAACAAATTCCTGCAATGTTCGCCGATACTAGAGAAACTGAAACTGTCTTGTTGCCCGCTATTTTGGCAGGTTTGGAAGCTCTTAAGGTAAGAAAAAATACAACATTTCAATTGATAATTTGAGTTTTTTAAATTTTAAGAATTATTTGTATTCTTAAAACTTTGTTTAAAAAATTAGATTAGTTTTGAATTACGCTTTAATATTGACTTAAAAATAAAACTGCATTTGTCCTTATCTAAATTAAATTTTGATAACTTTTAAATTAAACATATTTATTATAAAGTTATATTTTTTGCTTAGTTTTGTTATATTTTTTTTTCATCAAATAAATCAAATTTCTATTCTATATTTTTTCTTATACAGTCAAACTTCGATGCCGAGGATTTTTGAACCTGCACTCATGCTTCTTGTTAAAATATTACTTAGCAACTTGTTTTTTTTATTTTTTTTTTGAAAAATTAAATGCCCTTATGATATTACTTACGAAAAACGGGTAAAAAGTGATAATTTTCCCCTTTAATTATATAATTTTATACATTCAATGGGAAGGTTTTTGTCCAAATTTTATACAATTTTCGGAAAATTTAAGCAAAATAAACTAGACAAGAATGAAAATGTCGCGATCTGATTGGCTTACCAAAATATTTATGTCTATACTGCCCTACAACGCTAAAATGCAGTATATCCCATAAGTAATAATTTTGGGAATTTAAAAAATTTGGAAAGAGAAATCTTATTAGAATGTATAAAAAAATTCGTAGTTAAGATATTTTTCGGTCGAGGGTGTTAAAATAAAATTGTGCAGCTAAAAAGTAAAATAAGTATTTTAAAATTATTCAAAATGAAATTATTATAAAACGCATTTGCATGCGTGAATGTATCATTTTCTCGCACGCAAATCATGGGGGATATTTTTTACAAATTTGGCAACATGTTCATTCCTCCTTCGTCCCTGGTTTTGTAAACTTGCCCCCGTGCGAAAAATGACGTCTTATGACATTAGTTCTTCAATATACTAGGAGTATTATTTAATTATTTTGATCTGTATGTTTTAATCAAGATATTTTTTGGTACAGGGTGTTATAAAATTGACATTTTGTAGATAACAAGTAAAATAATTCAAAATTAAATATATTTTTATCTATTTCCGAATCATAATGAGATCATTATGAAAAGCATTTGCGTGCTTAAATGTGTCACTTTCTTGCACGAAAATCATGAGGGATTTTTTTCACAGATTTGTCAATACCTCCTATATTTATATGTTATTATTAAAAATGTTGTTATGACTTAAGAATTATTCTGCATTTGACGTACAAAATTGCCTACTTACAAAAAAATGGGTTAGAAAAGGTCATAACTTTTATAAAAAAAAAGTAAAAAAGGCAAACTTTTTTGAATTAACTCACTTTATATAATTTACAAGTTTATAAACTTTATAACATAAAAAATTGCATTTTGTCTCTCCACGTAAAAATTAAAAACTAAAATATGTTAATGTGTTTTCAACACAGAATGTTTCTCATTGAGAATAGAATAAACTTTTTTATAAAACGGTTTTTTATTTGATTATTACAAAATCGAATATTTTGGTTTTTACACAATTACAAAGAAATAAAGGATCGATTTTTAAATTTTCAGCTTTACCATACAATTTATAAATATATAGTATAAATTATAACACTTTTTAATTCCAAATGCAAAAATGGTATCACAAATATTTTTAAACAAATGGCTATTAATTAATTTAATTGTAAAAAAAATAAAAGGTTTAAACTAAGAAAATGTTTATAGGAGTATTGTTTTTGTAGGCATCTGAATGCACTGGCAAGCTTCAAGTGTTCCACTCGACGCTGCCTTCGGCCGAAGCTCCTGGAAAACTTAAAAACCGCGAGGACAGGAAACTGTTGGGCACCGACAAGGAAAGAACGGTGTTGACCCCGCAAAATCAAGCGTACAATCAATTGGGACAGGATTGCGTCGGAGCCGGTTGCTGCGTGGATCTGTACATATTCAATAATTCCTACATCGACATCGCCACCATTGGACAAGTTTCGCGGTTGACTGGCGGAGAAGTTTTCAAATACACGTATTTCCAGGTAAAAATAAAATTTAATATTATCGATGTATAATTCCGAGTTTTTAAAGTACACTGCGTGTTTTAATTGGGTTTTTCATAAGGTAGTATTTTAAAGTTTGGAAAATAAATAGCAATACTTGACGTATAATACATTTTTACAGACTGGATATCATAGCTATATTTTGATTTTTAAGCCCATTTTAGTTTTTTAATATATTAATATTTGTTAATATATTAATATTTGTTAATTTTTAATTAATTTTGAAATCACGTTTTTTTATAAGATAAAAAGTTGGTTTTTATTATAAAATAAAAAGTAATGGCCTCAAAATTTGTTGTTTTATATATTTATTTATTTAGAGGTCACATCGCATGGATTTTGGATCGCTGAATCGGAATTCTTTATCGGAATTCCGCCATCAATCTCAGGTTTTTTTCATCGTTTTATCGTTTTCTGCTATTTATACACCATAACAAAAAAACTCCCGAATTATTTTTCATTTTGAACATAAATTCGGAAGCGAAAAAAATACATCAAAATTGGTTCGCTGAGCCCAAACTTTGCTGTGGGGGAGGGGTTGTTGAAATACCTTGCCAAAAAAAGTGGGAAAATCAGGGTAGCCATTATTTGGGTTTTTTCGTAAATCGTAAATAATGGTAACCAATATAACTGCCCTGCCTAACAACGTGAATAATGAACTCAATTTTCTCGTTGTTGGGCATCAGTGATTGGCTGGTTTCAATATTTACTGTTATTTAAACCAATCGGGTTTTAAATTGGAAAAAAGTAAAGTTAACAAATGTCAGATTTTTTTGTATACGAGGGGCGACTATAATGATCTTTAAAATCGGGAGAAAGTGAGGTTATAATACATTTTGTTAATAATGAAAATAACATAAGTGGAGTAGACAAAGCATAGTATTACACTCGAAATAATGCGCATTATTTACTCGGATGATTTACGTCTCTCGCCTGACGGTTGCATTATCTCGAAAAATCAACAAAAAAGGTTAGGAAGAAAACAAAAGCTAATTACAAAATTGTTATATTATAATAAACAGGGTTCCCCAAGTATATACTCAGAAGGATATCATTGTATGCATGTGAATACTTTTATGGGTATTTTTTATTTGAAGAGCTACAAGTTTAGTTAAGTTAGCATATTAGCATGAACTTTATTAAATTAAAAAAGCCAGCGGTTTTAAAATATTTAAAAAAACTAAAAATCTTTTGAATTTTGAAAAAAGTTTTACATGTAAACATATCTTGTGTTACCATCACCATCTTTTGTTTTCATAATGGCCGCCACAACTTAAGAATAACGAAGTTATAACGATTTTTGGTTTTGGCAGTTTATCAGTTTTTTCTTCATTATTTGAGACCCGCATTTTTTTCATTATTTGAATGCCATTTTAATAGACTCTTAATTACGCAATTTTTCTCTAATTTAACCATCCTTGTAGCTGTTCACATAAAAAAGATACCAATACATAAATGGATATTTGATGCACCCTGTATATTATATTATAAAAATTTTGTAATTAGCTTTTGTTTTCTTCTCAACCTCAAAAAACAAGTTGATTTTTCGAGAAATAAAATTATTGTTGATTGAAAATTCCGGCATTAAATTCGGATTCAGCCACACTAAATCCACTTTTTTTGGTGTTGGAGGGCCAAAAAAAACATTTCTTTGTATTTTGTGCCATTGAATCCGAGTTTATGGTCGAGATCTAAAGATGTTAAAAAAGCTGTGTGATGGCTAAATTCCGACCACGGATTCGGATTCAGCGATCCAAAACTCATAGGATGTGAGTACTCTATAGTCCGTCGGATATACTTCTTTTATTTTTTTGTGAGGCTGCAAAGCAAAATAATTAGAAACTATTTAATTATATTGATTGTTGATTGTCTTTTTAACTTTGTTCCAAAACTTTATCTATTGAAGGTTTTAATTTTTTCAATTCAAAAACCAATTTGTTTCTTATTTTAGTCTGACATAGACGGAGAGAGGGTGATTAAAGATATCGTTACAAACATAAGCAGACCAATCGCTTTCGACGCGATCATGCGTGTGAGAACGTCGACGGGAGTGCGTCCGACGGATTTCTTCGGTCACTTTTACATGTCCAACACAACCGACATGGAGTTGGCAGCTATTGGTAAGATACAATGGATATCATTTATATTTACAGGACGCCAAAGAACTCCATGATGAAATAAATCTTTAGATTTATTTTGTCTACAACAAAATCAGGGCTCCCACACCTAAAACTCATAAAATTCCTAAAAGTTGGCTTAAATCTTGAAAACTTCTAAAATTCTCCTAAAATTGCCATTAATCTCCTAAAACTCCTAACAATTAAATATAAATAGACCAACCTGACTATTAAGTACTAGTTGTGCTAAAAAAATTCTTTTCTAGTTTATTAAATTCTTTTTAAAATAATATATCACAACCTACATTTTTCTTAAAAAACAACAAAACATACCTAAAAAATAAAATCCATGTAGTGCCTCCTAGACTTCTACAAAATTGTCAGTTTTCGTGTTTAATTTTCTTTAAAATGATAGCTAAAATAGTTAACAATCTAAAAAATGTTTGGCTATATTATGCAAACTTCATATTTTTTCTATTATGAGTTTTTTTAAGTATCAAGATCCACATTACAATTATTTTTAGTTATTATTAACTAAACGTTAACATTTTTTTCTTAAAATATAAATATAACATCATTTGACTTTGGCCTAGTTTTTCAAAATCTATCGACGCGTTTTTTAAATATAATTTGTGATGATGAAGTGTGATGAAATTTCCTCTTGTGTGCCTATCCTATATATCATCATTAATTTTGCCTCTAAAAACAATGATATTATTCATCCGTGCAAAAAAAAATCAGGTATACGCAAAGTGTATTATGTAATATTAATAATAACTTTTAAACTTCTTCAAAATCGATTAGTAGGTACTTTGTTATCATTAATTACTGACAGTTCGGTTGTTATTGTGGTTTATTTGGGGCTACATAACCAGTTTAGTGTACCAGAGCGAAGTTGACATATTATTGCAGCGGCAGATGAAATCCGAAATCATCCGGATATGATAGCAAGAGCTACACAATAATTTTTGTGGAACCCTTAAAAAAAACTAAATCAGCATCAATCGACATAAAAAGTGGACGGTGAAATTTCAAATCGACAGAAAAACCACGGAAACCTCGATTCCTAACAATAAAAAGTATTGCTTTATTCACTGAGTGTGCAAAACAAAAAACACTTATCAACAAATGTAAATTTTTAATGAATGTAGGATATTGCCCACTGTGCAAGCAAACTGCTTCAGTTGTCATAGGTCAGGAACAACCAGTGGCGGCCCAAAATGTCTACTTTTCTTATTCAATAGGGTGTCCGTTATTTACCAACTTGGTTTTTTTGTTTGCAGTGCCCCCTAAATTTTTAGTTTATGGCTTAAAAAGAATTATAAAAAAAATTATAAAAAAAAATATTTATTTTAAACCGTGCCACAAAGACGATACATTTTCCGGTTAAATAACATGGGGTTTCGGCAAGTTTTACATATGTATATATTTTTTTCTCTGAAGAAAGTTAAAATACAGCAAAAAGTGATACATATTTTATAGGAAATTGAACGCTGTACCAAAAAACTTTCCTATGATTTTTCGATAAATTCACTGGTTTAAAAGTTATTTAAGGTTAAAATTGAACTTAAAGTATTTTTTTCGATTTTTTTACTTTGACTGCAAAATTATCATTATTTTTATGAAAATAAATTGTTAATTTTATTAAAAAAGTAAAAATTAGTAAAAAGAGATAAGTAAAAATTATTGACAAGAGATTTTGATAAATTCAATTTTTTTTATTACGTTAAACGAATTGGTATTAGTTTTACTCAATTTTAGTACGATTACTTTTTTACATAATATTTTTATTTCTGTGAAATTCTACAAAATTGTATACGATTTTATAAAATATTATACAATAAAAAGTACAGCTAATGACGTAGAAATTCTTTTAACAATTATTTTTACGACAAAATAAAATTCGTAGTTACGCATACGTTGTCTTGAGTATGAGAGCAGACATTTCCGCTACACCAATTATCCTTTTCAAATAAGTTAAATGTATTTATCTACTTCTACATTGACGAGCTGTGACTTTATGGCGCTTTAGTCACGGGCTGAAGTTGGCAATAACTAGTAGATTTTGGGAATTTTAGTCACGGGCTGAAATTAGCTTTATTATATATTAGAGAAAAGTGAGGTTAATTCCATTGACATTTGACAGATGTCAAATGTTTAACAAATATTGGCTTTAAATTCTTTTTGGTGTTCGTTGTAGATAAAGTATACTTAGTAGGCAACTCGCTTAATAAACTTATCTAGATACTTGTTTTTAATAAGCTTCGCTCGTGCCTAATAAAACTCGTAACTAAAATGTTTTGTAAAATTTCACAGAAATAAAAATATTATGTAAAAAAAGTAATCGTTCTAAATTTGAGTAAAACTAGTACCAGATTCCTTTAATGTAATAAACAATTTTTAATTTATCGGAAGTTCTTGTCAATAATTTTCACTTATCTCTTTTCAAAAATTTTTACTTTTTTAATAATACATAAAATCACATATTTTCAAAAATTAACAATTTATTTTCATAAAAATAATGATAATTTTGCAGTCAAAGTAAAAAAATCGAAAAAATTACTATTAGTTCAATTTTAACCTTAAATAACTTTTAAACCAGTTCAATTTCCTATAAAAATATGTATCACTTTTTGCCGTATTTTAACTTGCTTCAGAGAAAAAAAATATTTGTAAAACTTGCCGATGTTATTTAAACGGAAAATGTATCGTCTTTGTGGCACGGTTTAAAATGAATATTTTTTTTATAATTTTTTTTTTATTCTTTTTAGGTCATAAACTAAAAATTTAGGGGGCACTGCAAACAAAAAAACCAAGTTGGTAAATAACGGACACCCTATTATACAAATTTTAATGATTTTTTATTTAAAAAAAATGGCACTAATGCAAAAAAACTTTCATCCCCTTAAAGTATGACTTGGTGACACCCTGTTTACAAAAGTACAAAAGTAGTAATTTTACCACACTTTTAATTTTTTTTTTAAACTAGTCAATGTAACTTATTTGTACAAAAGAAGTGATACTTATTGATATTTTTGTTAAAAGAATTATTTATTTTTCTTATATTTTAAGTACCGTATAGAGTTGTTTTTATTTAATTACAGAAATTCATTTGCATACTTTTATTTATCCTAAAATTCTCCAAAAAACCTCCTAAATTCCTAAATAAAATTTGTAATTTAGCCGTGGGAGCCCTGCAATATAAATGTGTTATTATAACGCATTCATCTTGTTGTAGACTGTGATAAGGCCGTCGCCGTGGAGATCAAGCACGACGACAAGCTGTCGGAAGAGGAAGGCGTCTACATCCAGGCCGCCTTGCTGTTCACCTCGTGCTCCGGCCAGCGCCGGCTGCGCATCGTCAACTTGTCGCTGAAGACGTGCTCGCAGATGGCCGACCTGTACCGCAGCTGCGACCTGGACACGATCATGAACTACATCGGCAAACAGGCCGCTTACCGTTTGCTCGACAACAATCCCAAGTCGGTGAAGGACGCGGTCGTCAACCGCGCCGCTCAAATTTTGGCCACGTACAGGAAGAACTGCGCCACTCCCAGCAGTGCAGGTAAATTATTTTTTTTTATTTAATTTACAAATTTTATTTACTCTTGTTGTGTCAACTTTATGAAATGGATCCGCTAATTTAATTTCATCATGTGTATTGATTTTTTGTATTTCATGAAACGGACCGCCGTTTTATGCTCTTACTGAAATGTGTTATAATTTCATCAAGATGGGTGGGTGAAATCATCCATTTCATAAAAAGTATATCCAATTTATACGTTTAGTGTATTCTAATTTATTTTCACCCATAATATAACTAGTGGTATTATTATCATCGATGATATTTTCGAATTGAAACCGAGCTGCAGATTTCACGAGTCCGCAGGACGAGTGAAATGTGCTGCTTCGGTTTCAATGAGTAAATATCTTTGATTATTAATCATACCACGAGTTATATTTAGTGAGAAAATATAATGAATTTTAGGAATTAAAAAATTTGTCAGATTGACATTTAAAATTAAAATGTGCTTTATAATATAAAAAGACTTTAATAAACCTTATTTATTCAAACTTACCTTAATTTCATTATCGTTTACACCAACCCATCGATCTTTTAGAGTTTATAATTCATTATTTTATTGATATATATCAAATACAGAATTTAAATGACAACAGATGTTAAATCAAAAAAAGTGTCAAAATTCTTAGTAACGTGTAAACAAGATGATAAAAATTATTGCCGCTGTGATAAAATACGTCACTATGGAATACTGGCATTTTATTGGTTCTAATATTAATGAATTGTATTGTCACCCATAATATAACAAGTGGTATGATTATCATCGATGATATTTTCGAATTGAAATCGAGCTGCAGATTTCACGAGTCCGCAGGACGAGTGAAATGTGCTGCTTCGGTTTTAATGAGTAAATATCATCGATAATTAATCATACCACGAGTTATATTTAGTGAGAAAATATAATGAATTTTAGGATTTAACGAATTTTTAGTTTGACATTTGAAATTAAAATGTGCTTTAAAATATAAAAAGACTTTAATAAACCTTATTTATTCAAACTTACCTTAATTTCATTATCGTTTACACCAACCCATCGATCTTTTAGAGTTTATAATTCATTATTTTATTGATATATATCAAAAACAGAATTTAAATGACAACAAATGTCAAATCAAAAAAACGTCAAAATTCATAGTAACGTGTAAACAAGATGATAAAAATTATTGCCGCTGTGATAAAATACGTCACTATGGAATACTGGCATTTTATTGGTTCTAATATTAATGAATTGTATTGTCAACCAAATAATGGAATTTGTTTATTTCTTAAAGGGAAAAAAATAATTTTCCGTTTTTACTTAATTATTTAAAAAATATTAAATAAAAAAATATATATATAATTTAAATATTTCAAAAATTGATATAGTTAAATATTTAGTAACTATTAAACAAATAATATATACCATTTATAATATGGCAATTATTTAAAAATATTACTAGAGAATGATGAGCACTTTTAAAAATGCTCGTGAAAAGTGTTCGATAATTTAATTTTCCGCCAAAACTAAAAAAGCGGATTATACCTGGTTATTTTAAAAGTGCTCAAAAGTGCTTAAAGGAGCTTGAGCGATTTTAAAAAGTTCTTGCTTTTTCCTACTAATTACATGTGAATATTAAGATATTTAATCAGAGAACTATGAATTTAATCGGTTAAACTAGGCTCAGTAGTAGAAAATGTTGAATGCAAAATAATTTAATAAAATCACGAGACCGCGTAGCGGTCGAGGGGTTTTATTTTTAATTATTTTGCATGAAACTATTTTCCAAAAAAAAACAAATAAAAAACTTACTGAGCATAGTTTGACAAATTAAATTTATAGGTTGAGTGATATACGTCTAGATTATTTCTCGAATTAAAGGAAACTATTTGACAATTCATAAAATCTGACGTATGTGTCAAAATTTATAAATATTTTTTTAAAGAAAATTCCATTAATTTAAGGTATGTAAGTAATAATTGATATTTCGTAAACTAGATAACTTATTTTTTATTGTTTTTTAAAAAATGTTTATAAAAACTTGTAAATAACACCATAAAATCGTAAACAAAAATCCAATATGGAGGCTAAAATTTAATGGCTGTTAAATAGTTCTAGTGATTTAATTGCTTATTTAAACGAAATTTATTCGAAAATTCAAGGCTTTTGATTGGTTCATATTATAATGAGGGAAATAATCATTAATATTAATATTAATCATTCATATTAATATAATAAATTAATTAAATTAAATAAATATTAATCATTAATATTAAATAATTACTTCGACTGTTAAAGTTCAACATTAAGAAAATACTTAATTTTTAACAATAATAGTAGTTTATGTCGAAATATGACAAATGTCAAAAATAGTATATGACAGGTGACAGATAACATCCAATTTTTGAAATCTGTTATTTTTTGACATCTGTCGTTTTTGACATTTGTCATCTTTTGATTCTGTCATATTTCGAACTATTATTATTGTTAATAAATATTAAGTAATACTGGTAATTAGTATTATTGTTAAATAGTTGCAATTTTTATGAATGGCCAATATGAATTTAACAATCAAGGAAGTGTAGCTAACTATTTAAAAATTTAGTATTTAGAAGAAAAAAATTCCATTATTTCATTAGTTAAAAATTAAATGAATATAAATAATTTTTGTTATAATAGTTTATTTCAAAAAATGACAGATGATAAGAAATAAAAGGTTTTAAAAATGACGGGTTTCAAGAAATGACAAAAGAAAAAAATGATGGATTGCTATTAATTATTTTTTACTGTTGATTAAATATCTGACTAATTCGTAACATTTTCAATGTTAATCATCAAAGTAGTAATATAATTTTTTGAATAGTATATTAGCCAGTGTTTAAATTAAATGAGTGTCTATAAAAGTTTATAAACGAGCTCGTTGCATACTATACTTTTTCTACGACAAATACTTATTATCTAAAAATGATTTAATTAAGTACTATTGTACCGAGCGACATCTATTCAAAAGGAAATATTTTATGGGCACTCTTCACCCGAAATTTTATCCGTTAAATCTAGTATACGAAACCAAAAGGTCATTATAAACTTTTTAATTGGCGTTGAGAAACTATTTAATACTTTTTAATACTATTTAATAATTTTTCTATTAAGATAATGCAATAATTGAGGCTTATCTAAATTAGGTGTTTTTGAGCAAAACCTTACACGTGAGTACTAACGCATATCAGGCCAATAGAATACTTTAAACGAAATATATAGGCATAAGTAAAACATTTATATACCTTGATTAAAAAGGTATAGCTCCAATTTAATAGTATATTATGTATTAAGTTTGATAAACGCCATTTTATACACGAATTTAATTTAGGCACGAGTGAGCTTGCGAGCGAGTTCTTAAATTAATGAGTGTATAGAAAAGTTTATAAACGTGCATACTATACTTTTTCTACGACAAACACTTATTATTATCTTATAGTCACGGCCAAATCTATATGGGTGCACGTCATCAATGAGATATAATGACGTCAGCATTACCAACTTTGAATTGTAAAGTTACTGCCGTTAAATTTGCTTTTTTAAGGCGTAATTCTGATGTGTTATTAAAAAGAAATCATTCATTTGCGTATTGTTTACCAAGAACTGTAACAATTTCCTTGTTTTAAAACGTTTTTTCACAAAATTATCAAAATAAAACCATTCACTTAGTAATTTTTGTGTGTGCCAGTTGGTATTATAATAGCTTAAGGCTGGCGCGCACCGTTCAATATTATTGATGGGTCGCTGTCATTTTATATTTGACGTATTTTTGTAATTGTGACATTTCGTCCGGAAGCATCGTTTGTTGCAAATTATTATAAATAATATTATACATTATGTTTATTTATTTATTTTACACTATAGCTAGCAGTTCTTCAGAATTGGTACCGCTAAGTCTATGTTAATTTGAATTAATTCTTCCATTCTTCTATTCCATTATTTAATCCTTTTTTTAATTAGCATTTATAACTTTCCAATGGAAAGTTTCCATTCTAAAAAACTTTACTTCCAAATATCTTCATTTTATTTTTCTAAACCATAAATTTTGATTAATATTTCTGACATCGATGACAATATATCCAGATGTTTATAAGATTCTATCCCTGGATTGTGCAAACAATGATATAAGGCTTGTTGGCAACTAGCCGTTATTAGATTTCGAAGACATTGCGCCCTTAATAATAAATTTGGGGAAATAATCAGACTTCAATTCTGACCTGGTTTGCTCTGATGACAAGGACGACTGGTAATTTATTATTTTTGTGTTTCTGATAATTTAGTATTTTTTTGTTATGTGCATATGTAATAAAAATGTAATAAACTCCGTTTGTTTTCTCTTTAAACACATTTAATTAAAATTTGCCTGTAACAAACTCCTAATTAGTTAGTGCAGAAGATTATAACAAGGACGTTATAATTCCATCTTAATAACAGCCCCCACCGCTATAAATAGTCAACAATACACGAGCGTTAGATTGTGTCTGGGCAGGTATGAATAGACCTTAACGCTGACGTCATATGCCGTTGATGACGTGCACCCATACAGATTTGGCCGCGACTATAAAATGATTTAAATCAAAAATTTGTATAGAGCGCCATCTATGAAACAATAGGGGAATCTGTGTGTCACCGTCAAATGTCAATTTTTTTTTATTTTATAAACACGAAATGTATTTCTTGAAAGTTGACAGTTTTTCACAGTGAAAGTAAAGAAAATATTTTATGAGCACTTTACAGTGGAGTCCGTGTCCCAATTTAAGTTATAGTTTACTGCCGGCGAAATTAAAAGGTCAGTGCAATGTTCATATAAACTTTTCAAATATCGGCGTTGAGAAACTATTTAATGCTTTTGTATTTTTGTATTGAGATAATAAACTAATTTTCACATTTAGTATTATTTTACAAGAAAGGCAATTTATTTTAACGATTGTATGACATTTGACAACTGTCAACTAACTTAAAACTAACTTCAGCCCGTGACTAAAGCGCCATAAAGCCGCAACTTGTCAATGTGTATTTAAAAGGTCACTTAGTGTCATGGAAACATGTACGATAAAGGGCGTTTTAAAGGTGGGAGTAGAAAAAATAATTTAAAATTACATACGTATAAACCGAGTTCTGCATGATATAACCAATAAATAAGGCAAGTTTTGGTACAACCGTCAATTTGTAAATGAAATTTAAATGGAATAAGGTGAGTTTTAGAATATTATGAACTTTTCAGGGTATAGGGGGATACATGTTAAATGTACAGACACCACTAACTCATTTTTATTAAAAAGTGGATAAGCCGAGTTTTGGAATGGACCTCCTCAATTGATAAATTTAGTATTATTTCACAGAAAGGACACTTTATTTGAATGATTTGATAACATTTGAGAACTGTCAACTCACTTAAAGCTAACTTCAGCCCGTGACTAAAGCGCCATAAAGCCATAGCTTGTCAATGTGTATTATAGCTATAGCAGGAGTAGAAAAATATTGAAATTATATTTTTTATTTAATATATTTTTTAAGTAATATAAAGAGTAAATAGGTAATAATTTTAATAATAAAATATTATGATATAAAATTAATATGTCTTTCAACAAAACATGGTTAAATATGTAATGTAACTAAACATCTTGTATTTAAAGTTTTAAGCCCATAAAGTATTTTAAAAGTTTATTTTTAATTTCAATTTTATACTTAGCAAACAATAATGCTGGCTTTATGCAGCACAAAGTTTTAACATTAACATTATCATTAAGAAGTTAAATGAACGCAATCCATTGGAAGTTTTTTTGCAACACATTAACATTTACTTTAACATTAAGAAAAGGCCAAATTTTATGTTCTTAATGATAATGTTAATTTTTATTCCTCCTGCGCAGGTTTGCGGCGCAATTTTTAAATAAACCGTGTCAGTAATGCCAATATACCCGAAAATAAAATGAAACTTACTGCTGAATGATTGATTTTTTATTCAATGATTGTGTTCTTTGGTTTATTGTTTGACGTGGAGTTTATAGTTTTCATTCATTTTACCTAACAGATGCTAAAACGGGATTAAAACAAAATTCAAACAAACCGAAAATGTTAGATGTCAAAATTACTTTAACTTATACGCAAGCTTAATTTGCCACTAATTTTGCTGCATAAAATACCCACCTTAAATTAGCTTAATGTTAACTTAATGTTAACTTAATGCTAATGTGTGCTGCATAAATCCACATTATTAAAAAAAATGAGACACGTCAATCAGTATCTCGTGTTTAGTTGATGCGTTTGAGAAAATTTTACTGTTAAAATTTCACCGTCCTTTTCTATTAAGGTCAATTAATCCTTCCCGAGTGCATGAAACTGCTGCCTTTGTACGTGAACTGTCTGCTGAAGAACGACGCGATATGCGGCGGAGCCGACATGACAATCGACGACCGTTCGTTCGTTATGCAGGCGTTCATGACCATGGACGTGCAGACGTCGGTGCACTACCTCTACCCCAGGCTCATACCCATCCACGACGTGGTGCCTTCCGAGGACGTGCAAGTGCCGGCGCAGATCAGGTGTTCCGTCGAGAAGCTGAGCGACCAGGGAGTTTATATCTTAGGTAAGCAATACCAACGTATGGGTAATTACTAGGGCCCGGATTGTCGCTAGGATCGCCGCTCACTGGAGCCAAGTTCGTGTTTTACTGTCCGTAAGTCGAATTTTTAGTAACCTTCTTAAAAAAAATTCAATGTTAAAAAAATAACCGTCATTTTAAGCTTTAAGGAAATTTAACTTATGTACAGGGTGTTATGAAATTAATGTAATAAAATGGGTAGTTCCTTAGGGTCCATAAAGAATAGGGTGTTTCAAAATAAGGCAAAATTTTTCTTTTTTCAAATTTATGTGAAATTCTTGTCACTTATGCTGAAAAAATAATTCTGTCAAAATTTGAGGTCTTAATATTAATTTTAAAAGGTCCATCATCAAATTTAAAGTTTTTCCATTGATTTAACATGGAAAAATAGTTTTTTAAGATTTATTTCGCCTGCATGCTATGTAGAACTTTTTTTTTTGAAAAACAATCACTGGTCCTTTTTTAGCATTAAATTATCTACCAAAAATCTTAAAAAGTCCAGTTTGTAGATTCAACTCTTTCTTTTTTATTAACGTTGAAACGTATAAATTATAAAAAAAATTAATATTTTTACATTTAGCGGCTAAAGTACTAATCGTAGAAGAAAAAGTTAATTAGCAATTTTAAAGATCTTTTAATGCTCTACTAATTTGTTTTAAACAATTTTTGCAAAATTGTCCCTAAACTTTTTTTCCTTCAGTGAATATTATAATAATATATTATGCATAATTATGAAAATGGGATTTTAGACACTTTTAACTTTTGAACTGTAGGTGATAAAAAAAAAATGAGCAAAACAAATTTGAAGAACAATAAACGATCTTCAATATTGCTAATTGACTTTTTTTTCTACGATTTGTAGTTTAGCCGCTAAATGTAAAAATATCATTTTTTTTAGAATGTATACGTTTCAACAGTTGAATCTACAGACTGGACTCTGTAAGATTTTTTGTAGATAATTTAACGCTAAAAAAGGACCAGTGATTGTTTATAAAAAAAAGTTCTAATTAGCAAGCAGGCGAAATAAATCTTAAAAAACTATATTTCCATGTTAAATCAATGGGAAAACTTCGATGATGGACCTTTTAAAATTAATATGGACCTTTTAAAATTGATATTAAGAGCTCAAATTTTGAAAGATTTTTTTTTAGCATAAGTGAAGAGAATTTTACATGAATTTAAAAAATAAAAATATTGCTTTATTAATAAAAAAAAAATTTTGAAACACCCTAATAAAGAAGCACCTGAAACTTCTTTTTTATAAATTCTTAAGACTAAAAATAACAAGCAGCGTTTCCAGATTCTGTAAAGAAAGTTGCCAGATTTTGTTTAAATTTAGCTTAATTAAAAAAATGACAAAATCAACAATGCAAATTGTTAATTTGTAGTTTATATTAATTGTTGATTATGTCATTTTTGTAATAAAGGTAAATTCAAACAAAATCTGGCAACTTTTATGACAGAATCTATCTAGTGCATTTCTTTCAAATTTTGGTTTATGTGCTCAAATTGTAAATATCTTAAACAAAGGGAAGTGCTTTTGGATTTATTTACACACATTAATTGTTAAAAGTTTAACCTGTGAACTTGTCCTAATTTTATCTGAGTAAACAGAAAGAAAAAAACCGATGAACCATTGGTTAAGCTAATAGCTGGATGAGTAAATAAATACAGAAGGGTATTAGAGCTTTAATGGCATAAAACTTTTGTATTTATTGAGTTTTTATTTATTTTTTGCAAGAAAAAATTTTAGTAACAATTTTTTACAACTGGCAACGCGCAGCTACTTTGTTGGTTGGTATCTATTTACTCACCAAACACAAGTGTCTAACCACAAAAAATATAAAAAACTTCTAATGCATGTTTTTTCTTAATCTTTTGGAAAAACATTTTTTTTAAATATTTTTGTGTTACACCTTATGTATTTTGTATATTAAATTTAATTTAAGTTTACAATTTCAAAAATATAGTGCTTACCTATTGTAGCAAGTACGGCTCTGGATCTCGGAATGATGACTCATCGCCGATGAGTCATCGCCGGTGACTCAGCGCTCGAATAATCGAGAGTGTGGAGCTCGCTGGAATGTTCTAGAGAACGTAGGCGCTGTAATATATAAGGAACGCCGCTACATGGAGAGTCAGTTAAGATTTGGTACTCGCGGCGAAATAAATAAATATAAGTGCAAATAAATAGACTCTTGAACAATAGTGATATATAAATAATTAGTAGTTAAGTGTATAGTGTTTTTATAGTGTTTTAAGTGTAGTTAAGTTATTAAATAAATAGTTTAGTTCGTTAATTAACCAGTGCGTGTTTTAATTCACACTACGAACAGTTAAAAACGTTACAATTGGTGTCAGGAGTGCGGTTAGTGTGAATTTTCGTAAAAATGGTTTCGTTAATGGACTTAAAAGTGGCGGACCTTAAGCGGGAGCTAGAAGAAAGAGAATGTGAAACAACTGGAAAAAAGAATGTGTTGCAGCAGCGGCTTCGAGAAGCATTGGAACATGAGGGTGAAAATCCAGATACGTATTTATTTGAAGGTTCGTGTGATATGAATTTATTGTTGCAAAATTTGAAAGTTGATTTAAAACAGAACATTCTGGAAAATTCTAACGACTTACAACAGAAAATTTTGGAAAATTCTAACGAATTGCAACAGAAAATGCTAGAAAATTCTAAAGAACTGAAAGATTTAAAGGATGATTTGCAACAGAAAATGGTAGAAAATTCTAGCGAATTAAAAGTCGATTTGCAACAGAAAATGGTGGAAAATTCCAACAATTTAAAGGATGATTTACAACAGAAAATACTGGAAAATTCTAAAAATTTAAAAGAATATTTGGAACAGAAGATTCTAGATAATGTAAATGAATTAGAAGAGAAAGTAGGACAGAAATTGAATGACGTAAGGATGGAATTGGATGATAAATTGGAAGTAAAAATTAAAGAAATAAATAGTAAACTGACAGCTGTAAATCTACCCATGATGCTGGCGGAACCAGGAACAATGCTGGAGGGGAGCCGAGTACGGATGAAACCACCTCAGTTCGATGGAAAAACTTCTTGGACAAATTACATCCGTCAGTTTGAGGCAGCAGCAAAAGCAAATGGCTGGCTACCAGAAGAAAAAGCTACAGCATTGACTCTGGCTTTACGCGGAGATGCAACGGACATCTTGCAGACACTCTCTCCCAACGAACAAGAAGATTACGAAGCGTTGGTTAAACATCTGGAACTTCGATATGGCCAGACGCATTTGGAACATGTCTACCATTCCCAACTTAAGAACCGCTGCCAGAAATCAAACGAGACTTTGCAAGAATTCGAGGCTGATATTGCACGCTTGGTCCGGCTAGCATATCCAGCTACTCCAACGACCGTTATGGAACGATTAGCGGTTCAAGCCTTTTTGGATGGACTTCGAGACAACGAAACAAGACAGGCTCTAACACTGGCTCGTCCGAGCCAACTGGTTGATGCATTGGCTCGAGCTTTGGAGTTCGAGGCGGCAAAACAGAGCTGCAGGAGCCAGCCTAGAATAAGGAGAGTCGAGGAGGAGAAAGAGGAGAAACCCAGTATAATTGAAGCAATCAGGCGAGTTTTTAAAGAACATTTACCAGAGAAGAGGGAAATTCGGTGTTGGAAATGTGGAAAGCTGGGACATATGCAAAGTCGTTGCAGAGGAAGTCAGGTGGCGCCGACTTCATTTAGAAAAATAAATAGGATCGAAGAAAAGGATGTGTATATTCGCAGGACTACAATCGTAGATGATCATTGGCAATCCGCTGAGGTTCAACAAGACCAAGAAAGGGACCCGGATTTGAAGCTCATCATCGATTGGAAAAAGAACGACCATAAACCAACGTGGCAGGAAGTGGCCCAATATTCGCCGAATGTGAAATCGTACTGGGCCCTATGGAATTCCATCATCTTAAGTGACGGGCTTCTAAAGCGCGTTCTGGAGACTCCAGAAGGGGTGAAAGACCGGAAGCAGATAATTATCCCCAGAAACAGGATACCAGAAGTGCTGCAGGAAATCCATGATGGAACTACTGGAGGACATCTTGGGGTGACGAGGACGATCGGAAGACTTGGGGAACGGTTCTATTGGGTCAACAGCCAACGAGATGTAAAGGAATGGTGCAAGAAGTGCGCCGTTTGTGCGGCAAGCAATGGACCCCAGAAGCACCCAAAAGCCCCAATGCGACAGTACAATGTGGGCAGCCCATTTGAGAGAATTGCAATCGACGTGGCGGGTCCATTTCCGGAAACAGAATCTGGAAATAAATACATCATCGTTGTAATGGACTACTTTAGCAAGTGGGCGGAAGCATACGCCTTGCCAAACCAGGAAGCTGCCACAGTGGTCGATGCCCTTATTAAGGAGTGGATTTGTCGTTTTGGTGTCCCAATGGAAATGCATTCAGACCAAGGCAGGAACTTTGAATCTATATTGTTCCAGAATGTGTGTAAGATTCTTAAAATTCGGAAGACGAGGACGACTGCATTACATCCGCAGTCTGATGGAATGGTAGAACGAATGAATCGAACGATAAACCGGTACCTGTCCAAGGTAGTCTCTGATCACCAAAGAGACTGGGTCCGCTTCCTTCATCTGTTCCTGTTGGCGTACCGTTCTTCTATTCACGATACAACCGGCCAGACACCCGCTAGCATTGTTATGGGACGTGAACTTCGTCTACCTTGTGACCTGAGAATTGGTTGCCTACCAGGGGAAGATATTGCTGGAGAAGATTATGTCAGCAATTTACGTAGAAAAATGAGCGACATTCACAGCCGAGTTCGTTTAAACATCCAGAGTGCCAGTGATAGAATGAAAGAGGCATACGACATCAAGGCGGAAAATGGAGGATTTCAACCTGGAGACCTAGTTTGGTTATACAACCCTCAGCGCCATCGTGGTTATTCACCGAAGCTGCAGACTTCTTGGGAAGGACCATATGAAGTCATGGATCGAATAAATGACATCATCTACAGGATCAGGAAACAACCAAGAGGAAAGCCGAAAGTGATCCATTTCAACCGATTGGCCCCTTACGCTGGAAACAATGATCAAATAGACGATGCTAGAGTAAGGAGAGTTAATCCGCCGGAACACGACTTGCCTTTTGAAGACCATGTATTTATATTCGAGCGGTAAAAAAGCTCGCTATGGTGTCACTCGAGAAGAACAACAAGATCTATTCACGGTTTCGGCCGATTACTCCTTGGCTCACTGTGTTGCAGAAGACCTAAGGATGTCCAGGGGAATAGCGGTTGTTTTTTAAGAACAAGTTTGGACGGATCAACGAGCTACGAAGGCAGAATCCCAAAGTTGGAGAGGTGCTTGAAATTGTGAATAATGAGCAGATAGGCAACAGAAGTATCTTCTATCTGGTAACGAAGCAGCTCTCCCATCAGAAGCCAAACTACCGTGATGTATGGAATGCCTTAAATAAATTGAGGGATACCCTTTTGTCCAAGGACATCATGAACCTGGCGATACCAAAGATTGCTTGTGGACTTGACGGTTTGGACTGGAGAATAATTAGAAGTATGGTGGAAGTTATCTTCAGATTTAGTGGCATACATTCTTATCTGTTGCCACAACCCTAAAAGAACAACCGGAAGAAAGACCGTGGACTGCTACTTTTATAGGACGTCACATTGCAAGTTTGGATCTCTATGCAAATATCGCCATGGAGCTGAGGACCATTTTCGGGACGAAAATGTTTTAAGACGGGGGCAATGTAGCAAGTACGGCTCTGGATCTCGGAATGATGACTCATCGCCGATGAGTCATCGCCGGTGACTCAGCGCTCGAATAATCGAGAGTGTGGAGCTCGCTGGAATGTTCTAGAGAACGTAGGCGCTGTAATATATAAGGAACGCCGCTACATGGAGAGTCAGTTAAGATTTGGTACTCGCGGCGAAATAAATAAATATAAGTGCAAATAAATAGACTCTTGAACAATAGTGATATATAAATAATTAGTAGTTAAGTGTATAGTGTTTTTATAGTGTTTTAAGTGTAGTTAAGTTATTAAATAAATAGTTTAGTTCGTTAATTAACCAGTGCGTGTTTTAATTCACACTACGAACAGTTAAAAACGTTACACTATATTGTTTTAAAAATATGGTTTAAAAGTGTCGAAAAAAACCCGGAAAAATTGGGGGAAAACCTGTTTTTCCGTTTTTTTTCCTGGCCTTGGAAAAATGGGCTCTTTTGGGAATATATACACATTTTAATAATAGAAGCAATCAACAACATTATTTAATTATTTTAATTAAAAAAGTATAATTTTTTACAACAAAAAAACAAATAAAACAAAACATTGAATTGAATTTAATTGATTTAAGAAAATAAACGTAAACGAAAAATATACTGTCGGTTGGATTCTTTTTGCAACCGACAATTGAAACAATGAATAATTTATAAAGTTAATCACAAAATTATAAATTTATAAATCGATGTGTCAAATAAAACGATAGTTACATATATTTTAAAACATCATCGAATATGTTTTTTTTTACTGAATTAAAATAATTGTAATAATTATTATAATCATAATATATGATTATAATCAGACTAGAAAATTCACTTTTTTCTCGATATCATGGAAGGATATCATCCGTAAAAATTTGTAAATTTTAAGAAAAATCGACTTTTGCATTATTTTTGTATAACCTTTGGAATAAAATAAGTCAATTTTTCTGAAATTTTTATAACTATTTATTCCAATTTTTTGTTAAAAATATCAAATTAAATAATTAAATATCAAAATTAAACCATTTTATTGTCGTAAAACTGGAGAACACAAAATAATTCTAAATTTCTAATTTTAAATTAAATGTTCAAAATGACTCCCATTATTTTATAAGCAATAGTACAGTCTATCGTCAAATTACCTTTGAACATTATATCTCAGTTTACATGTTCGAGGGTTTTTCGAGAAAATATTTTTAATAATAAAATAAATACCCTGAAAATGTTGTAAAAATCAAACAGTAACGAAAATACACAGCTTCAAAGTCGTCAAAAATGACCACTTTTCAGCAAAATAATTAAAAAGGGGTCATTAATGATTTTACCGATTTTGAAGCGCTGTATCTTCGTTACTGTACGTTTAATTTTCACAAAATTTTTATGGTATACTAACAAAAATACGGTCTTTAACAGCATATTTACTTAAAAAAAATCCCTAAAAGTTATTTTTCAAACCTTTTTTTATTATTAAATAAAAGGGCTTTAAAAAGTTTTTCTCGAAAAACTGAGATATAAGTATTTTTATACAAAATTTTATAAAGAATGGTAAAGGTTTTAGATTTAGAATTTTTTTACTTACAATGCGTTAATTTTGACGCGCAGCTTATTAAAATCGGACAAAAACTATTCGCGTAACCACTTAAAACTCTAAAAATTGTCGAATTTCTGCTCAAAAATCGTTAAAAATAGTTTTTAAGTTATTTTATAAATGTATGTGATTAATTTTTTCAAGTTAAACAAGGACCCATTACATAATACTTGGTTAAATTCTTTGATTACAAAAATTATATATACGAATTTGAATGTTTGCTTATTGAAAAAACCCTTTTTTCCCAATATTTCGATAACTAAGGCTATTTGAGCAAAATTATGTTCATTTTTGTCGACCAGTTCTATGGAGGGTTCTAAATTATGTTTTTCTTAAAGAAAATGGTATTCATATGTTCCTCTGGATTGGTCTGGGTGCAAGTCCAGAATTCTGCCAAAATGTGTTCGGAGCTCCGTCAGCTATTCAAATTGATTTAGATAGAATATCACTACCCGAATTAGATAATCCATTATCTCTAGCTGTAAGAACTATTATCGAAGAAATTAGAATACAGAAGCATCGTTGTATGAGGGTAAGTCATCTCGTCGCGATACTCGTTTCTTGCTTACTTTGTTTTTGTGTTTTAGTTGACTTTAGTGAGACAAAGGGAGAAGTTGGAACCGGTATTCAAGCACTTCTTGATCGAAGATCGCGGAAATGATGGATCTGCAAGTTACGTCGACTTCTTGTGTCACATGCATAAAGAAATAAGATCGATATTAAGCTAGCAAAAGTCATAGTTTTAGGTTCAACCGAACGAAAAAGTAATTTGTACTCAGAATTTTCTATTATAGTATGTCATTAAGAAATATATATTTTATCAAACTTTTTTGTTGAATTTACTATTTGCAAATCCATATTATGAGACTTATTAACATTTTTCGTACAAATTTCGGAACAGCATTGTTAATCAGGATGTGGATTTGTGACTTTATTGCAATTATATTATTTTTTGTATCTATATTTTATCGGTGCCCATACAAAATGGTTATTATGTATTATATAAAAAACTAATAAATAGATGTAAGAATTTTAGTGGCATTTATAAATTCAACTACATACACCCATAATTTTTGAATTTAAGTTCGTTGGGAGTTCATATTTTTTTGTTAATTTATGCACAAAAAATTTAAATCATTCAAAAAGTCCCCGTTTTAAATAAATTAAATATTGATTAAAAAAGTTTGCTTATATGGGATATAATTAATTTATAATTATTTTTTTTTGTCTGGACAGCGGCAACGTTACAAATTGGTAAATACGGAACCAAAATTGGTTGCATTGATTAAAACAAACTATTAATTTGGCTTTGGTGGTGCGTAGATGAGGAAAATCATAAAAAAGTAGTTAAATATAGGTGACTACGGTCCAGGAGAGACAAAGTATTCCTAGCGGATAATAATCTTTGCTTTGAAAAGAATTTATGTAAAAGAAATTAAAATTTTATGTGACACACGTGAATGTTGTCCAATCATTGGACTCCAATGGTTAATAACAATTATAATGTATATATTGTCCAGGACTATTAATGATCAGTTACTTGCAAATTGAAAGAAGAAAAAGTTTCGTGATTATTATCTTTTTCAAACCAAATGGATGCTATTTTTAAAGACAGGAAAACTACTAGATTTTTCACAAAAAGGTTGAACCTAACAGCAAATAATTTTTATTTTTTGTTTTTATATTTCCTCCTTATTTTTAAAATTTCACAATTTTTGATCTGTTTAACTAAAAATAATTTGTGATTTAATATTTGTAAAACCAAAAACGTTACTTTTTTACTCCTCAAATGTCCTTTTTCTGCCATTGAGGCATTTGGCATAACATCATCGAAATGAAGTTATGCCCTTAAAAGTTCTTTTACTTTAGAATCTAATATTATTTTTGGCATAGTCATCTTTTTATATTGATATAATATAATAATTAACAACTAAATTATCAATAATAAATATTACTGTTAATTTGACAGTGTAAGAGTTTAATTAATGTAAGAAGTACCATTTTTTAAATACTTAAAATACTAAATCAAACTGGCATAATAAAAAAACACGACTCCAAATAAAAAAAATGAACTGTATTAAAGTAGAAAAATTTCAAGTTTACCTAAAATAATTAAAATAGGTTGTTTATTTTTCTATGGTTATACAGACTTAAAACGGGAAATGTATATATTAGGGTGGCCCAAAAAAAAAGAATATTTTTTTTTCTCTTGTCTCTTGTAAAAATATGTTGGTTTGTCATGTTTTAAGAGCCCTGTCAAAAGATCAGCTCCATTAAAAAAAATTTAGGGGTCGCTCAAGGTTTTTAAAAATTTCCAAAATCGTCAAAAATTGGATTTTTTTTATTTTAATTTTTTTTCTCGTTCCGATAGTTTTTTTTAATTTAAAAATAATAATGATTCTGAAAATTTTAAATGGATATTTTGATTTCTAAAGGTCGCTCAAGATTTTTTTAACTTTCAAAGTAGAGTATTTTGAATGTTTTCGAGTGACCTCTGAATATAAGTATCAACGAACTTTTAGCGACCTTTAGAAATCAAAAATTGATTTGAAATTTACAGAATTTTTATTATTTTTAACCAAAAAAATAATATCGAGACGAGAAAAAAAATTAAAATAAAACAAAAATTCAATTTTTGACGATTTTGAAAATTTTAAAAAATCTTGAGCGACCCCTAAATTTTTTTTAATCGAGCTGATATTTTGACAGGGCTCTTACAGCATGATAAACTAACATATTTTTGCAAGAGACGAGAAAAAAAATATATTCTTTTTTTTTTGGGCCACCCTAATATATATATATAGTAAGAAATGAAAATGAAAAAAACGAGCATTCAGTTATTTTTATCACTAGGCTGATCGCTGGTATTTTAAGAGACATAACGATTTAAATACGGCGTATTCACTACGCCCAGCCAAATAAATTTTATCAACATATCTAGTAAAATCTCTCAAATATTTGTACCCAAGCTCAGCGTAGGAATTTATAATTAAATCACGTACGGTAGCCCAAACTATAGTTATTACCTGTGTTTATTTAAAAATCCATTTAGAAAAAAAGTAGATTCATCGCTGAAACAAATATTTTTTAACAATTTGGGAGCAATCACAATTCCTTGCGTCATTTTTTAACAAAACTGGATTTGAATTTTATAAGGGAAAATATTATTTATTTTTAACACCTTATGAACGGAACCAACTGGTTAACACAGCTATTTGTTAAAGCAGCTACTTTTGGAATGAATGTGGATCCCACAGCAAGTTTAAATTACCGAGAATTTCAATTTGTGCAGCTTCATCTAGTAAACTCGATCTAGTGTGTTTTCTGTTGCACACTAAACCAGTTCCCTAAATTTTTTCACCAGGATTAACCTCACGTCAATAATACTGACGTCTCAGTTAGCACAAGTCGGTCTTCAGGACGTCCTAAGGAAAGCCTTACAGGATATTGGGATATCCCAAGGATATCCTCGGACCTCCTCAGGACATCCCAAACCAGTGGTGCAAAAAAGGCCAGCCTACGGACGTCCTGTAAATGGCCTTAAATCCCAAAAAAGGACCGCCTACTGACGTTCTGTATGTGAACGTCCCACGGGTTATTCTTGTTCTTGTAATATGTGGATCCTGAACAAATCCTCTGCACTCAAACTTACTCAATTAACTAACCATATGGCTACCCTGCTTAAAATACCCCATAGAGACCCTGTTCAAACCGATAGATATTTGTATCGGGATGTATGGTGTTTCTATAGGGTGTATCGGTTTGTATAGGACCCGTAGTTGAGATTTATGGTTGTTCTATAGGGATATCCACCATTGATTTATTTGCTATCGGTTTCAATGGGGAAAATACACATAAATGTAGAAATTAGTTTTTTCCCTATAGGACCCTATAGGTTTTAATAAAATTTTGTCAAATGTTTTATGGTTGCTCTATAGGGATATCCCTATATATCCTTCATTGAGTTATTTTCTATCGGTCTCAATAGGGAAAATGTAAAAGTTATGGTGTGCCTATAGGTAATTTCCTATACATTTTCTATCGGGCTGTATCCGGAAAAACCCATGGACAAATGCACATATAGAATCCGGTAGCGCCCGATAGATTATTTTGTATAGGTCTCTATGGGGTATTTTAAGCAGGGTAGTTATAGTATTCGCTACTGAGCAGATCAGCCCCACTCCAATCATTGTTTTAAATCAAAATCAATTTATTTAAGTATCATTGAATGTACTGTAAGCGTACAAACCTCCCAGTAAAGAATTTTTAAAAGTTACATCCCCAGTGATAAATAAAATATAACACCTCGGCAAATGTTATTTTAAATTACGACTAATAAATAAAAATATATAGGTAGGTACTTACGGTAATAAAGCTCATTAATTTAGCAACCCAAGGTACTTTTGAGGTGTTTTATTCATGGGGAAAGTATTAAAAGGAAAATAATAAATATAGTAAATAAAAGACAATAAATCACGTTTAAACTCTGGTCCAAGACCTGGAAGGCTCCCGTTTATTTTTATATAAATATCTCTTTCCTTGCGGCCTTGAGTTCACGGTTTATTCACCGTGAATTCACTGTGAATTCACCGTGAATTCACTGTGAATTCACCGTGAATTCACTGTGAATTCACCGTGAATAAACCGTCTGTTTGTGACATTTGTAAACGGTAGTTAGACGGTGAATTCATGCACTTTTCACAGACGGTTTATTCACGGTAAATTCACCGTGAATAAACCGTGAACTCAAGGCCAATGGAACCACTACGGACTTGGCTTTTCAATGCCATCGTTAATTAAATATGTACTGGTAGTTTATAACTTCCAGAATAACAATATAATGTTTAAGTAGGCAGGTAAATTTATAAACCCTTTAAATTTTACTGCTAAACTTGTGAATTTAGTTTTTGTAAAATAAATGCGCTTCATCAATATTTAAGTAGGTATAAACAAATTATTTATTTAATCAATTTTATAAATAAATTTTTTTTAATATTTACCTATTATTAATGTTTCATTTAATTATTAATACCGTCTATTAGCAACAAAATTACTATTTATTAAAAGGTAAACAACCATGCATTTACAAACAATTAAAATAATTTATTATTTACATTACCACGTGGTACTGTACAGTAATTTACGAAGTTTTCACAGTAAACTCACAGCGCTTTTACGGTGATTTTACGGTATAGGTATATACCGTTTATGTGCAATGTCCATTTGTGACATTTGTAGACGGTAATTAAACAGTGAACTCACGCTGTTTTTGTAATAAATTTACGGTAAATTCACGGTTAATTCATGGTGATTTCATGGTAAATTCACGGTGAACTCAAGTTTGCAAAATCACCGCAAATTCACTGTAAAAGTACCGTAAATTTATCGTGAAATCACCGTAAAAGCGCTGTGAGTTTACTGTGAAAACATCGTAAATTACTGTACAGTACCACGTGGTAATGTAATGAATATATTCACGGTGAATTCACGCAAACGGTAAATTCACCGTAAACTCAAGGCCGCAATGGTTATAAAACCTTCCAAAATGAGGCATTATGGTAGTAAGTTAAACGTATAAAACACTAAAATTTATAACAAACAATAATTATATTTATTTGGATAAGGCAACAACAATAACCATAACCCAAACGACATTTAACTGTATTTTCTAAATTGAACTCTGAAAGAAAGGGACATCCTACAAACCCTTAAAACCACACAAAATCTCCTTACTGCGACCACAACCCACATGTAATATAAATAAATAAATATATAAATACCATTAGGTAAATAATACATCATACTCAAGTTCTGCTGTCGTATGTTTTCCTCGTTTTCATTTTTATAAAAATGAGGGTAAGGAGATTTTGTACTATAGTTTGTTTGCTTGTTTGTTGGATAAAAGTAGATGGAATCTTAGTCTCTATTTTTGTATTTTATCCGTCGAGAATTTTATCCGTATTAGGTATCCGTTTTTATAATTTTTAAATGAAATTTTGTTCAAACTTTTGCAGAACAAAATCGGAGAACTTTCGGTGCTTTAAATGATCCAGTTTCCAGTTTCAGTTCTTGGGTTAATTTGATCTTGTAAGGGTGTAGCTTAAGATCTTTACACAAAATTCGCCATAATGTAAACTGAGAAATACCAAATTCTTTGTGAACGGCGATTCATTTTATTCATTTTGAACTGAAGGTCTAATTATAATTCTATAGAGCTGCAATATTTTTAGTACTTCGTGCGTTGTCTCACTGGCACAGGAATATTCACCATCGCACAGCTTGGGACGATGATTGCGACCAAAAATTGGATTAAGGCAATCTGCAAAATGTCTCATGCGATAGTCAACCCAGTGGCGGCTCGTCAGGGTAGGCCTCTGAGACCGCGCCTCACCCTTAAAATGAAGGAACGAACGACTTTTTGTATTTATATTTTTGCCTATTACAAGTGTATTTTTACAACAGTTCTATCCAATAAAAAGTAAAAAACCAATCAATCATACTAAGCGTAAATAAAAATCCAGGCGCGCGCGTCAAGTTAACGTGCATCGTTGGACAGAGGCGAAATTTTCACAGCCTCTTGAAAGCGAAAATGACTCACCAACAAAAATATCGCCGTAAGTTCTATTTAGTTAGTATTTTATATTTTTTAATACTTAGGTAGGGGTCGACTTTTTAGTTTTATTTTTATTTTTTGATTAATTTATTTATTTTTAACTTTTTTAAGACTATATTTTAAGTTTAAGATTAAAACTAGTCTTTGATGTGATATTTTGTTTGTTTTGTTTTTTAGAGTTTATTTTTTGGTTTAGTAGTGCTATCGGCTCCATTTTAAAAAAGGTCAACGCGTCGCAGAATAATACCTCCCGGGTGACGTGGAAATTTATTCGTATTTAGACAAAATTAACCTTATGTAGCCTAGGGTGTGCCAAAAAAACTCTAAATAGTTTTTTTCTTGCTCTCCACCCAAAATATCGTAGAATATGTCCGAACAAATATTCTGTTAAAAGTGGAGCTCATAATTTCAATTTTAAGAGGTCCCTCATCGAATCTGAAGTTTTGCCGCTTAAATAGCACAGAAAACTGACCTTTTTACCTTATTTATTCTTGCAACCTAGAAAGAATTTTTTTTTCATAAAATCCATGACCAAATCTTACAAAGCATTAAACTTGGACGAAAAAATCTTATTGAGCCGAATTTCTATTTTCATTATTTGATTTTTTACAGAGCTTTAAATTTAAAATTTTACGTTTTTTGCCTTTTTCAGCTAAACTATTGAAGTTAGACGAAAAAGTCAAATGGCAATTTTTTAGCTTGTCTGATGGACCACAAAAAAGTTTTAGGCGATTTTTTTATATCGTCAATATTCTAAAAGTTACAGGCGTATAAAGTCATCATTTTTGTATAATTAACTTTAAATTTAAAGCTATGTAAAAAATTAAATAATGAAAATAGAAATTCGGCTTAATAAGATTTTTTTGTCCAAATTTAATGCTTTGTAAGAATTAGTCATGGATTTTATGAAAAAAAAAATCTTCCTAGGTTGCAAGAATAAATAAGGTAAAAAAGTCAGTTTTCTGTGTTATTTAAGCGGCAAAACTTCAGATTCGATGAGGGACCTCTTAAAATTGAAATTATGAGCTCCGCTTTTAACAGAATATTTGTTCGGACATATTCTACGATATTTTGGGTGGAGAGCAAGAAAAAAAAAATATCGAGTTTTTTTGGCACACCCTAATGTAGCCTCACCCTCCTGTACACTCACGAGCCGCCACTGAGTCAACCCTTATTATATTGACTACTAGGCAGTGTGCGCAACAGTAATTAACGACAAAAATGTAAAATAGAAAAACTGAATTTTGTTTTTAGGAAAGATTGTCCAAAATGGAAGTGATTTTGCTCAATGTCCGGTAATTTGGTCAGTTTGCAGAGTATCTAGACATTTCGCACATTCCCGGAGATTTTACATTGCTGGTAACATATCGATGGTTATTTGACAAAACATCGTAAGCGACACAACCTAAATTTTACAGGAGAGATTTTTTGTGTGGGAGCTTTATTTTTAAAGTTATTTATCTGAAAACTGGTGAGGCATTATATATAAAAATATATTTCAAGATCGAATCCAATCTAAAATTTTCATTAAATTTTGTGGCATACCTACGATATTTTTTAAGAACATATTTAGGAAAATGTAAAATTAGTCTTGTCGCTTAAGTTACATTTACGTTACTTTGTGATGATTACTTTTGTCAAAACATCGTTAGCGACATTTATTTTTTTACTTTTATTATTAAATAAAAAAAATACAAGAAAATTAATTTATAAAATATCACCAACGATATTTTGCCAATGTTTGAAAATGAAATTCTACATTAGCTTTCTTTGAAAAAAATCGAACGATAATTATTCACAAACCAGTATCTAACCCATGGAGCCTACACAATAGGGAAAATTGACAAAACCAGCCCTCTAAGTTGTATGCTAGCGTTTCGGTACAAATTAAACAATTATTTCAGAATAAACGGAACACCATAGGAAGATTCTTGTTTACATGATGGACTCCTTGTGTAGGCTCCATGATCTAACCCATGGTACCATGATCTAACCCAGGGTGGAACCGTTATAAATTTGAGTCAAATTATTTGTCGCTATAACAACATACAATTACTACAAAAAACACTTTTAACGAACAACACTACGTAAAAACAATTATAATTAGATTAACGATTAATAATGCAATGAAAAAAGGAATTATAAGCTTTTGATCAAATAAAATATTATTTTAAAACTTGGTAGCAATAACCACGATGCAGGTATACTCACGAATAAACTGTTTAGAGCGGGAATAACGCCTTGATATATCAGGGCGGGAGCAAAATGTTATCGTAAGAATACCAGTGCCCGGAGCCGACTTAACCATCCTGTGCGACGTCTCCACCCCCACTGCTCGTCCCATCCTACCAAAAGCATTCAGACGAGCAGCTTTTAATACGGTACACCAACTATCACACCCTGGAATTAAAACCACGGTCAGGCTCGTAACCCAACGCTACGTATGGCCGTCGGTGAAGAAGGATTGCCGAGAATGGGCCCGTGCATGTATACCATGTCAACAGTCCAAGGTGACACGACACGTAGCATCAGCTATCGGAGAATTCCCTAACCCAACAGCCAGGTTCGAGCACGTGCACCTCGACCTTATCATCCTGCCATCATCGGAGGGTTATCGATACTGTCTCACGTGTATCGACAGGTTCACACGCTGGCCTGAAGCATTTCCACTGCAAAACCAAGAAGCCCCAACGGTAGCCAGAGCAATCTACGAGGGTTGGATCTGCCGATTCGGAGCACCACTTCGCATCACTACGGACCAAGGGCGTCAATTCGAGTCGAACCTCTTTAAACAGTTAAGTTGTTTGACAGGCATGACTCGCCAAAGAACCACCGCTTACCACCCAGCAGCCAACGGCATGGTCGAACGTCTCCACCGGCAACTGAAAGCAGCAATTAAGTGTCACGAAAACAACCAGTGGACGCGAGTCTTGCCAACAGTACTTTTGGGCATCCGCGCCGCTTGGAAGGAAGATATCCAAGCCTCAGCTGCGGAAATGGTATACGGGACAGTAATGAGACTCCCTAGAGAGTTCCTGGTGCCCCGTACTAACAGCCACACGACCGACGCCGCCGATTTCGTCAAGGAATTACGAGAGCAGTTCCAGAATGTGCGACCAACCAGCGGCTCTCGACACGGCGAACGCAAGACGTTCGTTTTCAAAGACCTGGCCACCACCAAACAAGTCTTTGTGCAGCACAAGGCACCCGGAGGACCACTACAAATGCCCTATGATGGTCCGTACCGAGTCATACGCCGCGGACTCAAGACGTTCGTCATCGCCATCAATGGCAGAGAAGTCACGGTCTCAATGGATCGATTAAAACCTACATACATCACCAAAGACGAGCTCCCTAAACAGCCTCAGAGCGCGTCCGAAAGCGCACCCAGGGACGAGACACCAGGAGACGGGATGCCGGCAGACGAGGTGCCAGAAGACACGATCAGCCCACTGCCCAACCAGACACCTGGACCTTCTACCCCGGGGAACACCACACGTTACGGAAGACGTGTCCGATTCCCGGAACGCCTCCAAGCAGGAATCAATTAATTTCCGGCAATTACTGGTAGGGGGGTACTGTAGCGGCAATTTCGCCCGTACTCAGGTATCAACCAAGGCAAACACGAAATTTAATATTTTAAGCTCACCATTAAATTCCGAATTTAAATAGTCTTATAATCCCAATAATCGTAAATACGCGAATATGTTATCTGCTCACTATTAAATTTCAACTTCCCCAACATTAAATTTAAATCACAACAATTGTTTAATAGATATCTTATGTAAATACTATTACCTGTAAATTTTAAGTTTATAGTTTGTAAACAAGCGTCTACTGTAGAACCTACCTGGCTTAAGCTTTGGTATTTTTGGGTATTACTGTTTCTGCATATAAAAACCAGGCACACCATCATCGAAGACACAGTCTGCATCATACAACACAACAATCGACATCATAGAAGACAACAGCTACCATCTTATTGTAAATAGTTTATTTGTAAATAAATACAGTATTGCAATCAGCATCGTGTTACAATTACACCACAACTCCATATAACTATTATGTTAACATGTGCAGCTTATCGTAAATGACACTTTGATAAAATAAAAAGTAATTCAAGAAAATTGTCGCTTACGATGTTTTGTCAAATAACCATCGATATACATACCTAAAGAAAAACAATAACATATGTCGCAGTACGTATTTTCTTAAAAATTACATTATATAGGTAGGTATTATTATTATTACTTCCCTGCTTCCTAAAAAATTTAAAAAACAAATTTTTCTTATCAAAACATAATGAATACCTTAACGTTCACTTATAATACATTTTCGAAAATTTTTAATGCATTGGTTTAGACCACAGTCATTGTACAGTACTCTTAATAACCATGACTTTTATTCAGTTTAGTATATTGTTGGTTAGTTTGGTTATTTCCATTATATTTTACTTTAAACATGCGTATTCATATTGGAAGAAAAAAAGAATACCGTATTTGGAACCATCTTTTCCCCATGGAAACCTTGACTGCCTTTTGCCAAGGGGAGTATCTATAGGTAAGCTTTATAAAGCTCTTTAAAGTCCTGCTAAAATTCGATAAAATATGAAAGGCAAAAAACAAAATACGGGTCTTAAAAAGTCTAGTTAATTTTTAATTTTAAAATTACCTAATTACTTTTTTCCTGTTTAGTGTTGAATAACATACTATAGTACTATGTATAGGAATTATAATTTGTAGTGTTTTTTTTTACAAAAAGGTACAATTTTAGTCCCACCCTTACTTCCTAAGAAGTTTCGGGTGAATCGTGGGCATTCATTTTTTAAGAAGTGACTACTTCTGTGTGAAATAAGGGCTTCTAAAAATATTTATTTTACTCGTAATAATTATATTATAAAATAGCTCTTTTGCATAAAGGTACATACTACTATATTTGTTTTTTAGTCAGTGCTACCCTCGAGGGTACACGATCGTATCAACATCTACGTTAAGATAACAATAAGTAGATACCTATGTCGCTTTTTTTAAACAAGCCGAAATCTAGTATATCAGAAATTCAAATGTTTACCCAGATATTTATATATATAAATAATAATAATAATAATTCAAAAGCATTTGAAAATGTTAAACTTAATATTAATGACACTGATATAGATGATCCTTTGATTATAGCGAATGAATTTAATAAGTATTTTATAAACGCTCCTTTAAACGTAGTTAATAAACTTGTTCCCCCTAAAAATTTTAAAGGTAACATTTTAAATAATATAAATTCATTTTATCTTCTTCCTTTTAATAATTGTGAAATGTTATCAATTCTAAAAAATAAACTTAAATAAAAAAAACCGCGGGACCGGATGATATTCCTGCTTTTATTTTAAAGTCCATTGCAGAAGAAATATTGTGTCCTCTTGTCTATTTGGTTAACTTCTCATTTTCAGCAGGAGATTTTCCAGAGAGACTTAAAGTTAACAAGGTTGTTACAATTTATAAAAAAAAAAATGATAAACATCATATCGATAACTACAGACCAATCAATGTCCTGTAGCCTGTCAAAAATCTTTGAATTCGCTTTCTTAGATAGGCTAGGCCCATTTCTTGGTAAGTAAAGAATCCTTAGTAATAACCAATTTGGTTTTCGTGCTAATTGCTCTACAGCATCAACAATTAATGCATTTTATACACACCTAATTGACTCCCTTGAAAAGGGAGAGTGTCCTGCTGGGATATTCTGTGATCTCAGTAAGGCATTTGATTGTGTTGATCATGGTAAACTAATGTATAAAATGGAGAGATATGGTATTAGAGGTCTGGCGTACGGCTGGCTAAATAGTTTTCTAAGTAACCGAATGCAATATGTATCAATTAAACATAATTCTCTACAAAATACAAACACAATTAAATCCAACCTAAGTAGTGTATGCATGGGAGTACCACAGGGTTTAATTCTTGGCCCTGTGCTATTAGCACTTTAAGTAAATGACTTAGAGCTACACCTAAAGGAAAACTGTTTTACCACGCTATACGCCGATGATACAACACTTGTACTATCAAACAAAAGTAACCAGATGGAGTGCAACGCAAACCTGGATTTGTTATCGTCCTGGTTTGCCTATAATTCACTCTATCTGAATGCAACCAAGACTAATTACGTGAGATTCTCTACTCAGGGTTATGGGCCTAGTGAATCTCTCAATTTAAGTTTATCGATTGATGGCCTAGATATATCTGAGAAACTAAATTGAAAGCATCATTGTGACTTTTTGATTTCAAAGTTAAGTTCTTTAGTCTATTTATTTAGAAAGCTTAGACAAGTATTGGTTTTGGAACAATTACTTTGTTTATATCATGCTCAAGTTGACAGTCGACTCCGCTATGGTATTTGTTTTTGGATCATCTACCTGTGCTGAGCATTTATTTATTTCTCAAAAGCGAATTTTCATATGCATAGCTGGGGTTTCACATGATTATTCATGTAGAAATTTATTTATTGCGCGTTCAAATTTTAGAATTATGTATATAGGTACGTATTTTTAAATAAAAGTAAGTTTTCAATAAACTGTGATGTCCATAATTTTATTACACGAAATAGAAATGATTTGAGAATACCTTTTAATCGACTAAATTTAGGTAAAAAGTCTCCAAACAGTTTAGGAATACATAATATATTATATTTAATAGACTTCCTTTGGAAATTAAAAACTCAAGATCAGTTCACATTTTTAAAACACTTTTGAAGTCATATTTGTTGTCCTAATGTTTAGGAATACAAAATATATTATATTTAATAGACTTCCTTTGGAAATTAAAAACTCAAGATCAGTTCACATTTTTAAAACACTTTTGAAGTCATATTTGTTGTCCTAATGTTTTTATAGCTTGAATGAATTTCTTATAATTTAGCTAAAGTTTATATATATATATATTTCTTATGTAACATAATTGTTTGTCTATTTCAAATTTACCTTGACGTTTTCTACACATGTTATATGTCTTCTGAAATAAAGCCTATTACTATTATTATTATTATTATTATTATTAAATGATGGTTTTCATCATGTGAGCTCAATATGCAGTGCATATTATCCTCACATTATGCAGTAGCACATACTAATACATTAAAAAAAATAACAGTCTTACATAATTAAAAAAAATGCAACAGAGCTGAGATATTTTTTTGGTGTTCAGGGCACCAATATACAAGGCACGTAAACTAGTCCACAGATTAAGCATTAAGAATCTGCGATTTAATTATGTTTAATTTCACACCTTCTTTAACCAGATTGGCCGTTTTTAACTCCAGATATAACTCAAATTGTAAAGCTACCTCCGAAAAACAAATGACAAAAAAAATAAAAAATCATATCTCGAAAACCAAAATGTTCATTTTAATGTTCAAGTTTAGCAGGCCAAAAAATATTAGAAAAAAAATAATGGCACCGAATGCACTTTTTTTGAAACCAGTGTTATTAAACTAAAATAAAATTTCACTTAACAAAGGGAAAGAAACTAAGGACCTTTTTTAATTTATTTAAAGGCATGCAGAGTAAGAAATTCTACGATGAATTAAAAAAGCGCAACCTTAAATATGGAGGGGTGTATGCAATTGCTCAACCAATGCTTGTGGTTAACGATATAGACATAATCAAGGATATGTTTATAAAAGACTTCAATCATTTTATGGATAGAGGACTTTATCATAACGAAAGTGCCGATACTCTATCATCCAATTTGTTCACCCAGGATGGTCAAAAATGGAAAACATTGAGAACGAAATTTACACCGGCATTCACGTCCGGAAAAATAAAATCTATGTTTGATGGTGTGAGTTTATGCGCTAAAAATATGCTTGATTTTCTTAAAAATCACGAAGATAAAAATGAAGTGAATATCAAACATCTTTCGCAAGGATTTACAATCGATGTAATTGGTAATACTGTTTTTGGTATTACGTGCAATTGCTTTCAAAGTCCAGATACAATGTTCAGAAAAATGGCGAAAAGGGTGTTTGAAGTTGACTTTCTTTTGGCTATAAATATGTGTTTGGCGATATACTATCCAGGTTTGGCGAAAAAATTGGGAGTTCGTATGTCCAACAAAGACGTGTCAGATTTTTTTCATAAAATTGTAAAGGATAATATGAGCTACAGAGAATCTAACAGCATTACACGTCCAGATTTTTTTCAATCGTTGATTGATCTTAAAAATCTTGATAATAAAGATGATGGCATTAGTATTGAAGAAGTCGTGTCTCAGTCGTTTATGTTTTTTGTTGCTGGTTTCGAGACCTCCTCAACGACCATTATGTTTTGTTTGTACGAATTAGCGAAGAATCAGGAAATACAAGAGAGGGTCAGAAAGGAAATCAAAAAGGTAATGAAACAAAATAATGAAGAAATCACGTCCGATGGTATCAAAGATATGAAGTATTTGGAACAAGTTCTAGATGGTTAGTAATAAGTACTACCAATTTAAAACATTTTATTAAACTTTTTTTTGGTATTTGTTTTTGAGCTTTTGTAATTTTTTTTAGAAACTCTTAGGATGTATCCTCCAAATGTAACTCTAACTCGAAAATGTACGAAAAATTATAAAATTAAAAACACTGAAGACATTACAGAGGAAGGCACTATAGTTCTTGTACCAGTATTTGGTATACATAGGGATTCAGATATTTGGGATAATCCTGAAGAGTTTAACCCTGAAAGATTTAATGAAAACAACAAAAAACATATACACCCATTTGCACATTTGCCGTTTGGAGGGGGGCCCAGAAACTGCATAGGTATGTATTTTATTATATGGGTAATTCTACAAAAGTTGGGCAACTTTTAACCTCATTTTGTTTATATAGTTTTCGGAGAAAATTAAACAGTATTTTGTTATGAGGACATAATATAATAAATATACTGTTCCAGGCCGAGCCAGTCACTTTTTCAAACAGTTTCTGAAATATCTGTGTTTTCTAAATTTGAATGCAAGGGTACTAATTAAATACATAATTTATTGGAAAATATAAGATTTATTGCAACTTTGAGCATATTATACATTAAATATCTTAAAATCAAATAATACCACACATCAGTGGCGGCTGATGGATTTTGGGTATACCGATATATCAATTATAAGATATGGGACCCATACCAAATTTATATGAGTTTATAATGACATTAAATTAACAAGTTCTGCGCAAGCAGAATTTAAATTGACGTTTGCAAAAAAAAGATAACGGAAACATCGAACATGGAACTGACGACACGCTACTGATGAATGGGATACAAATTTGAGATTATAATTCGGAATAAAGTATTTCACTAATATTTTTTATTAGTGGATGCTACTTATAAATTACAATCAAATATATATACCTACGTAAGAAAATAACTACTCACCACAGTACTGAAATTTTGACTGGAACTATACGTGCATTCACCACAACTTCGCCCCTTGCATTGTTTTCAAGATGACTGTCGTGCAAAGGGCGGGCTCTGTAGGTAATTTTTTACCAACACTTGAGTTAAAACGAGGACTTGACGTTTAAACTTCAATATTTCGCAGGAATTTTGAATTTTAACATTGGACACAGAAAAATACATTATTTAATGTTTTATAGTTTGTAGTGAAATTAAAAAATTTAAGATAAATTGAATATATTTTAAAATAAAACCACTCAAATATTTGATTCAGGAGTTGTGACATGCCAAGGTCCTGATGTTTTGAATATTTATTATGTTTTTCTACAAACGTGCTGTTAAAAAAAATACATTAAAATTGGGTGGACAAGTTAAAAAAACCTTGATCTTTTGTAATATACTAAAATATTTACAAAAAATATTAAAATACCTACTCTATTGACTGATGACATCAAGTTGTCCAACTTTTGTAGAATCAACCATATGTTTACTTTCTTAGCTACTATTATGTTTTATAAAATGTTTGAAAATAATACTTTGATCAAATAAAAATTGTATTTTTAGGAATGAGATTTGGAAACATGCTGGTTAAAACTGGACTTGCCATACTTTTAACGAATTATAGATTTCATATATGCCCCAAGACTGAGGAACATTTAAAATTTTATCCCCAAACGTTTATCCTCTTAACAAATGATATCTTCTTAAAAATAGAAAATCTGTAAATATTTTATTTTAGTTTTTAAATTATTTAAGATAGATTTTTAATGTTTTGGGTTTTCAAACTTTCTTTTAGCATTCTAATACAGTAATATATATATATATATATATATATATATATATATATATATATGTAATTATTTTATAGCATTTCCAAGATTCCGAATTTTTAAGCCTTTGATTTACTTACATAATTATGTATTTTTATAATAAAAGAAAAACCAGCATAATAATTTATTTAACGATCTATTTATTATTCCAGACCGAAGGTTAGATAATAATACATAAACACATAGAGCTACCCTTCCATAATAATGAAGCGAAGTGGAAATTAATTAAATATAAAATAATTTATGAAGCCCAAAATGTTAAACAATATCAGGACATAGTTTATGCTAAGTGTATCGTAACCGAGGAGGAGTTCCAGCCACTTCTACAATACGTTCGGTAAATCGGGATGCTGTGAGACGCTTATGAAAACCTTAGGGAATTTACCCTACGGCTATTGCCTGCTCTATAAAATCTAATATCATGTGCACCATTTTCGTCAACTATCATTCAAATCCAAAAGTACACTCAAGTATAAGGACGAGTCTCCTATTTTTATTTTTCTTCTTCATGTTCATATCTACGTTATTACAGATTCAGGATTAGATATCTGCCTATTGGTATACTATTTACTTAACGTCGATTTTATTTTTCGTAAAATTCAATATACAAACATAGACTGTGCAGTATAACTTGTGTTAACGGATACTTTCATAAAGGCAGTTTTTAGTGAAAGTTTCGATGACTTTGATGTTATAACAGATGTGTCAAGAATTACGAATGAATCCAACATCTATTTCTAGCCATATATCTGAAACTCATATATTGCTAGCGCCTATAAGCGAAAGTTGCACTAAGCTTCTGTCTCTAAATATCGTACTTAGAGTGTTATGCGCAAGTCCAAAAATTGAATTAAATTAATTGCACTGTAAGCGACGTTCTGCTATTCGTTTAATTTAATTTTCGGACACGCGCATACGAGGGGTTAACCACTTTAAAATCTTAGAGACCAACGTTCAATGTTATTGGAGGTTGTTTTATGTTTTTTTTCCTTATCAGTCGTTATCAATAAGAAATTTCTCTTAGCGACGCGTTGCGCATGACTACCCTTATTATTGTTATCCTATGCCGTTAATTCGTAAGCGATTTTTAATTTTAAAAAATCATAGGTTTACCCCTCGCGCGCATAATACCACGTAGTTCGATAGAAAGAGAAATATGTCGACACCAAAGCGAATTTATTTAAAAAAATAGTTTTTTCTACTCCCTCCTTTAAAACGCCCTTTATCGTACATGTTTCCATAAAACTAAGTTTAAATACACATTGACAAGTTGTGGCTTTATGGCGCTTTAGTCACGGGCTGAAGTTAGTTGACAGTTGTCAAATGTCATACAATCGTCAAAATAAAGTGCCTTTCTTGTAAAATAATACTAAATGTGAAAATTATTTTATTATCTTAATACAAAAATACAAAAGTATTAAATAGTTTCTCAACGCCAATATTTGAAAAGTTTATATGAACATTGTACTGACCTTTTAATTTCGCCGGTAGTAAACTATAACTTAAATTCGGGCACGGATTCCACTGTAAAGTGCACATAAAGCATTTTCTTTACTTTCACTGTGAAAAACTGTCAATTTTCAAGAAATACAATTCGATTTATAACCTTTATAATCTTTGTTTATAAAATAAAAAAATTTAACATTTGACAATGACACACAGATTCCCCTATTGTTTCATAGATAGCGCTCTATACAAATTTTTGATTTAAATCATTTTAAGATAATAATAAGTATTTGTCGTAGAAAAAGTATAGTATGCACCTCGTTTATAAATTTTTCTATACACTCATTAATTTAAGCACTCGCTCGCAAGCTCGCTCGTGCCTAAATTAAATTCTTGTATAAAATGGCGTTTATCAAACTTGATTCATAATATACTATTATGTACTTTATACTAAAATATGCGGTTAAAGGTTTAATAACTAGTTAAAAGATTATAACTGTCAAACAATTTGGTTATGTTCGGATTTTTTATTTTTGCAAATACTTCATTAAATCTTGACACTCATATTTTACCTACCAATATATCAATATAGGTACCTACCATTTATAATACATTGTGATGTCACGCTACCGAGAGAGTTTATCGATTTTCAAAGAAATTTTTAAAGAAAAATTTATACAAAAAAAGATTTGTTTTAAGTGACTAATCTCAATAATGGATGTAATTTCACACTGATTTTCGACATCAGGTCTCAAAACCACCTTTTTGTAAAACACTTCTTAAAAATTCTACTAAAGTTTTCCACGTTGAAACAGAACCACTTTTTTAGGATAACATTTTAATTATAAAATTGCCCTCAATTTACTCGCCTCTCCCTACATTCGCGGTTCATGTAGGCAGTACTTTGGGTCAGTCTGACCCCGTCTATAGCATTAACGGGTTAATTAATTTTACACAATTTATTGATAAAAAAACTATGTAAAATATTCCTTATGACAACTGAAATAAATGTAAGCGTCACTGAACTACAGAATATTCTGTGACTGAAATGTACACTGTACAGTTCACACGAACGTGCACATAACACAAAACACATAACACAAAAATATATATAAAATATTAAATGAATATTTTTGCTAAATGAACTAAATATTTTAGAAATATTATTCATTTTCATTTAAATGTCTATAAAATGTTTTTACAACATTTAGATGTCCCACTTTTTATATTTATACAATATTTTTCCGCAACATTTTTAAAACATTTTTGTAAATGTTTTATATATATTACCTTATATTTTATTAATGTTTTCTCAACATCACAAAAATATCTGAAAATATTTTCGAAATATTTGCAGTTCATTGCATATTTATTTTAACAATGTTGTAACAACATTGTTGTTGTAAATGTTGATAAAATGTTTCTTTTATATTTGAGGCATTCCACGTTACTTGGTAATTTTTGTCCCGCCCGTCATAATTAAAAATTGTGAGTAAAAACCACAAGTTATTAAATTATTATTTTATAATATTATTTTTATTGTGCCTATAAGCTTACAAGCATAATAAACAATATTTTAAAATAAATTTAATAACGTGGGGTTTTTAGACACAATTTTTAGTTGTGACGGGCGGGACAAAAATTACCGAGTAACGTGGAATGCCCCATTTATAAAAGCCGTGTGACGTCCGATACTTTTTGTGTACTGTATTTTCATTTGTTGGAGTGCAAAAAGTAGATGTGGTATTCTCATAGCAGATATAGTAAAACAGTGAAATACCATAGCTGGAGATATATTTTTTGCACGCTAAAAATACAAAAAATTTTAGTACAGTTCTTAATAAAAATTATTTAAAAAAAAATTTATTTTAAAAATAATTGATATTAATAAACAAATTATTATTATTATATTAAATAAAAAAATAAAATAAACAAATATATAAATAAACAAAACAAAAATTCTTTGTAAAGAATCACAAAAAAATTCTTTCTTCAGTATCGGTTTTTCTTATTTACTTTTTTTTCCTAAATTTATCTTGGGCCAACCATTGTCTTAACTCTGGTAAAATTTCGTTTTCTGTCGCATTATTTGGTTTCGGATTCTTCCGGATGGAGGCTAAAAATAAATTAATTAATACAATTGTTG